CTCCTATACTACAGCATTACGAAGAACCATCTGGAGGGGCTATAGCCCCTTTAGCCCCCCCCTGCGTACGCCCCTGCTCAAAGAGGAAGGGCTGCTCCGGATCGAGTGTCCCGTTACGAATCGCGTCCGAGAGATCACTCTCGGGGGCAGGTTCCCTTCCTCCGCTGGGAGCTGCAAGAATCCTGGAATATGTTGGTGGAGGATAAACATGATGAAATACGCACGTCACCTGCGAAGGGAATGAATACCTTCCGGACAGGATCGACTCTTGTCGCGACCTGCACCGCGACGGTAAATGTTGACTCCCCGAGTCCATTCTTGCGACTGTTTCCACCACATAGATCAATCGAGGCGAGAGCTGCGTTCTCCAAGTAGGAGGTACAAGGAAATCCACGAGCGAGCTCCGTTGCGAGGGCGGTCGGATGGTATGTTTTCCAAGATCCTCGCACGGGCAGAGTGAACGAGACGTCTTGCGAAGGCGATTCGCTCGCAGAAGCCTCTGGCAGCCTTCTAAATGCCTGGATATTCATTTCTCCTGCCTTAGGTATTTCTTTGCTCACGATCTTGCCTCGATATCATCGCCGACTGAGGTAATGTTTCCAGTCGCTCGATCACCGGGGATCGGGGATAAAGGAAGGGCTGATGGGAAAGACAGATATTTAGTCGCTCACAGTTGACTGAACCCCGGTTTTATTTATAGGCGAACGAAATCTCCGGACTATGAGACCGTCAGGCTCCCCTAGATGCATAGAAGAGGCAAGTGAGGCACTACTTGCAGTGGTGTATTGTTCTCTATTCCGTGGTCTCCTGGAATTGATTAGGTCTATCAAAGTACCTCTGCCCCTACTCGACACCAGCCGGAAGTATAGGCGATCTGTGCGAGCTCATCGTGCCGAGAATTCCGTTGCTCAATGTGGACACTGGCATAGTGGAGGTAGCCTTCAGCTAGCCTTGCTACACGCGCTGAATCTCTAGCTTCTAGGAAGCAACACTCGGGACGAGTTGCCGCGAGACGCAAACAGCGCCGACAGATTGGCGAGGAGTGGTGCGTGCTCGTACATGTAAGACAGGCAGGGGAGGGAACCCGAGATCCCTCGGGCTCACTATTGTGTTGAAGCTCGCCATTCGTCTCAGTAAATCTAGCCATGGGAGATATGTACCTACGTGGGCATCAGCAACGTACAGAATCCTCAAGCGACGAGTTGAACGAAGACATACGCCCGCACGCAAGGAACCGGAGCCTCTAAAGCAGAACGAACGGGATGGCTTCTCTCGTTGATCGGAAATCCTGAGGAGATATCCGAAATACGATGGGCAACAGTTTCATGAGATCGGTAGTAGGGGCGGTAACCCCCTCCCCCCTCCGTTGACCGACGGCGAGCAGCTCTGCTGCGGGGAAGCCTCGCCATTTTCGTCTAGCGAAGAGTTCCTCGCAATTTTTCGTCCGACCAGGATGCGAATCGGAAGTCCTGGATTACAGCCGCTCCCTTACAGAAACATTCTGCCGGGTTTCTCACGGATGATTACCTCAAGAGCGAGGTTCCCGGCTGCGAACGAGGGAGCGCGTAATCTCCCGTCGAGCAGCAAATGCTGGAGCTTGGAACTCGTCCGTCCTCTGTCTCGACCACGAGCGGTGTCGGAATATTTCGACATCCGCCGCGCCGTGGTGAGAATTCCGAGAGCGACCTACGTGTGTGACCCCAGAACAGTATTCATCAAAAAGAACAATAGACAGAGGCTCGGTTCGGAGTAGAGCTTGTCTTTCCCGACAAGGGAGTTCAGAGAGTGAGCAGGGCAAAAGGCTCCCCACCGCTCGCAAGGAAAAAAGCAATTTTGATAATCCTCCCGGACGCGAGCTCACACACATTTGCACACTCCGTCTGATCCCATCCGATTTGAGTTCTGTTCAATTTACTCGACAATCAAAGAGAGCTTTGCGAAAGAGCGGACAAAGTTCCAATCTGTCACGCATTCGCCGTCGGAGGCAAGCGTCCCAATGAGAAAGAGATAGAGATGGGGGGAGAGAACGGAGGGGAGGCCGGAGCTCTCCGCAGGGAAGTCTGCGTTGATTAGAAATCTAACCTTTCAAAGACTCGATAAGACTCGCTGACGCAGAGCGCCTGCAAGTGACTCACTCGGAATGCCTCTGGAAACCATCAACTACCACCGATAGTCTGACGCCCCGATCCGAGGCGCAGACACGTCGCATGCGGCTCCCCCCCTCGTGCTCGAGTCCACCCGCCTGATTCAGATGAAAGGGACGAAAAGCACCGGAGAAGGGTCACGAGCCTCTCGGAGTCCCATTCCGAATCAGATATTATTGCCCCCGAACCTTGCGATCAGAGTCCTGGCGAATAATGAGTTCAAGGTGTCCTCACCGGCCATTTTTCGGGGACATCTTGTGATTCATTCTCGGCCGTCGAGTCGTGAGGTAACGCCGACGGCGTCGTTCCGGAATTGTAGTCTATCTGCTCGCAGCTGGGAACGCATCAGAGAGAGCGAGTCTTGCATCGAGACTCGGCTCAGATCTGCGAAACCGTTCTGGATCGGAATGCTGACCGACACCGTCGTTCTCGGAAGCATCGTGAGGGCTCTACCTGTCCGGCGATTATTATCAGCATCGATCCGGGCGGGGTAAGGTGTCGTTTATGGAAACATCGGAATACATGAGACAATTGGATCGAGAGGTATTGAAGGTTCGGAGCGTCGATCACGGAGGTGCAAATATCGAAAGCCGCCTCATCGCATCGATGAGTCTGATGTTCGTCTTTCGGGAAGAACGTCGAAATTCACCGAGCAAGGGAGAAACTCGACCCCGACGGCGTCGGCGAGAGCGTTCTCACGGGGCGCCAGTTCGTGTCGGACGAACGTTCCTGTGGAAGCTTTGAATTCCCATTCCTCGAATTTCTTCTGATTCCTGCCATTCAGCGGAGCAGGCGCGATAACCACGTGACTCCTGCCTCGCTGGCGCTCTCGAACTCCGGGTGGAAGAGCGCGGTACCTCGCCTATTAGTTCTTGACTAGTTTGGAGAGCTTGATTGGATAGAATCTGCGACTTGCTCACGGCTTTTCTTGATGCCGTACACGGGGGCGACTCGAATGAGAAACTCATTTCTCTTGTTAATTAGTAGTTCTATTCGAGGACAAGGACCCGTGTCTGGTGATCAGGAGATTCTGGCATTGATGAAATGCGGAAGGCGAGTTATCAAACCCTTCCGAATGAGGGGATCCTGGCCTGGGGGCTGGGGATGATTTATGCTCCGACAGAATGGAGAGTAATGGAGAAAGCAGATATCCGATACCACTGCGATGACAGGCTATGCTAGAGCCACCGCGCAAGAAAACTTGATTTCCGAACAGGCTGATACGACAGTGGAGAGATTCCAGCCTCCAGACGTCGCTGCGAAGAAGCCTCTGAGGGATCGAAATAAGCAGGGAAGCCAAGGTCGGAATGGACTCGAGGCATCTCCACAAGGATGGAGGTCCCTAGGGCGAATCCGGATCGAGCACGGACTTCCACCAGCAACGCTAAGTTTCGTGCTATTATTATGTCTATCCTCGAAGGTATCAGACATTTGATGAGGCTGTGACGGGCAAAGTCTGTGCTGTATAGGTTGTAGTGAAGGTGTCATCAATCTAGAGTAACCTTTGGAGCCGGCGGGAGCTAACAAGAGATTATCTGACGGTTGATCATCGCTCACGCGCCAGGTCCCGTCAGCGCTCCCGAGAATGAGGATTAGTTCATTCACTTGGAGAATGGAGTCGAACAAAATCAACGCGACGAAAATTCTGCGGGCATTCACAGCTCATGAGAGTGCCGTTCTCTCCGAGTGGAACCGCGTATTTCTTTCTCGCACAAATCACAGAATGAAGCCGTTCTTTCCGAAGCTCATGAATACATCTTGACATTAGCTCGTCGCTGACAAAATCTCGAGAGAATTGTATAGCCAACAGACGACGTGTCCTGCCGAGTCGAGTCCGCAGTTTCTCTAACATCGTGTACTGTCCATTCGCTCTGGATTCGGAACAAACTGAATCAGGATATGCTCCAAATCTCCCTCAATGGGAACCACTAACAAAAGACGCTCTAGATAGATCAAACTGTCTCTAAAACTCTCCATCGAGCTCGAGAAATTCAATCACGCAGAGGGCTCCCGAGAACGCTGGCTCTTTTCTAAAGGTCGCAAACGGATAGAGCTCAAATATTTCATCCTCTCTGCTGCGACCCGCTCGATTGCGAGGAACTCTTTCAGGTAGAGGTCAAGTCCGAACGAATGGTTTTGATCTTATCTTGAGAGTGGGGGAACCTCACTTTTGGGAAAGATACCCGAACCTTTACAAGTTTGAAGGTTCTCCGTACTGTTGTATCAGGGAGCGGAGCTCCATGTGCGCGGAAAAGCTGAATAGCGGCGCTCAACTAAGTTCTATGAGGAATCACATATTTTTTCCCCGGGAAATATGCGGAGGTTAGCTGAGAGAGCCGGGAATTGCCGAGTGAAGTTTCGTTCTGCGACTGTCTTCGAGGGGAGATCGAGTGGGTCTGCTGTAGCATCCTGCGAATTCGACGCTGCTCAACCGATATCTCACGTATGGCTAACTTCCGGAGAGCGACACCTTGTAATTGAATTCCGAGCATGCGGCTCCGGAAGCGCCTCTCTTCTGCGGTCGCTTTTCTTCTCTCAAAACTGTTATACGGCGTTAGACTATCGATAATGAACCCCGTAGGAGGACACGCTGCTTGATCTCTGAGGGTTAGACCGCCCCGCGAGATCGCAAACGCTGTACGAACGCTCGCTCCCAGTGTGAGTTGGAGATGGGGCGTACTGGACGTGGGGAGCGCGAAAAATCCTTCGAGACGAAGAAGTTTTCCGCTCATCGGTGGAAATTTTCCTTGTCCCACGAGATCCCAATGAGCGCTATCCCTCAACATATGATAAATGGAATCGGGGGGGGGGTTGAATCCCGGAGGAAAATCGCGCCATACGAGGAGAGTCGGAGCAATTCGAGCAAGGGACTTCTTCCCGTGAACAGAAATTAAATAAAATGAAATCGTTGCTCAGCTACTCGTTCAAAGGCGTTAACCTAGGAAGGTCAGCAGGAGCATACGCCTGGACGGGGACCAGCCGAGAAATGTAAATACCAGTAAATCAGGAGAGAAGGTGGAACGCTTCAGCGACACACGGCGACTTCGCGCGAAACGAGCCGTCGTCTCGCTGAGATCCTGGAAACTACCGGCTTTCCTGGACAGTGATGCGCGGAAAAGATCAGTGAGTTTCCTGAGAGATCTCTCGAGTCTCCTATATTCGACTCCTCGATCGGGGGAGAGATTGCAGAGCTCGAAAACTCTCGGACCCCTCCCTTTCAAAGCTCTTCAGTATCATGGGAAACCTATGGCGAAGCCGAGGATCTCAGTGAGTTTGATCGGGCGAAAAACACGGCGTAAACCGACCTGAGAGGTGGCTTTGGGCAAACTGTCCCGTTGAAGACGCGGGAGAGAGCGGAGAGTCGGCACTCTGGGGAATCGACATTCCGCTTCTATTCAAGATGGTTTCGAATCAGAAGGTGAAACCGACTATGGAGCTCAAGTGTATCACTCGTGCTTCATCATCGCCGGAAATGCCTCCAAAAGCCCACATTCGCAGAAAGCATAACCGAACAGCGCCTATTCTCACGAGGTCAATCGAAGCTTTCAACCACTCATGTCGGCTCATAGAGTTGAAACGGGCGATGTCCGCACGAATGCACGTCGTCCCGGCAGGCCCGGTCGGCATGACGAGGTATCTCGGAGTATCTCATTCACCTGATTCGGATCCAGTCGAATTTTTGTGTCTGCGTTCAGAGCGCCGGCCTCATCTTGACAAGACCGACCTTCTTTGTCGAACGGAAATTCGAGGGTCGGGAATGATAATAATTCACTAAAAATTCCACAAAATATGCTAACGTTCTAGCTGCTTTCACTTGTATGAGTGGAAGGAATGGGAAAGAGAACGCGAGGGCACCTTACGTCACCTTCGAGTCTAGCTCACTTCCTGTTGGGAGCGTGGTCAGCGTTCAAGCTCTCAGTAAGAGTTGCAGCTTCTGCTCGGGATCCGATGGAAGGCCACAACTGTAACGGTGAGGTCGCAGTAGGATCAGACCAGTTGCTATTACCCCTCGATAGTTTGTAGTCCAAATCATTATTCTGATTCAATCAGTATGGTAGTCCTCCGCGCGGGGACTAGAGCAGACGCGAGTAACTTTCGTTCGCGTAGTGCGCGGAATACGCCCAGAGGATCCAATGTACGAGGATCGTTTCGGAGTGATAAACTGATGCTCACGACATGCGTCATGGTCGTCCTGTTTCACCGACGGAGTTAGGCAAGTGACACGTGGCTGTGTCACTCGTCTTCTCATCGAGCCTGCGCGACCTCCTCTCGGATCTTATATAAGACTGTCACTTGTCCTATGGGGAGTCTCGAGTCTGGGTAGATGCTTGTGGGATACTCGAGCTTACGCTTGTCCCATTGATGCCGCAGTTCCGTCCCGCTCATTTTCCGTCGGACGTTGAACGTGGAGTTCCAGATTCGTTCTTGATGATCCGCAGATCGCGCAGCGCCGGACGAATGATCTTATGGGTCTGATCGTGACTTACAGGTTACGAGCATCAGTGCGACTGGTTCTACCCGTACGAATCCTGTGCGAGCGCCGGTTTCGTGGAAGATCACCAAGATTGCTACGATGTAAGTATTTCGCGATCGCACTCTAGTCAGTCAGGGACTTCATGACTTTGGGACTTCATGACTTCAGGGACCTCATGACTCGAACCCGTAAGCTGAAGGATTCTTTCCCGTTTCTACGACGTTCCAGTCCCGCTCGCTGCAATGTTTCCAGAATCGTCGCTTGAGCGTGAATGAGCACTTCGTCCACCAGGAATACACGATGCCCGTCGGTCGCTACAATCGTCGCTCGTCGGTGACTTACAGCTCGTCAACCTATTCGCTCCCTAGCACTTGCTTCACTCAGTGGCAGCAGCCCTACACGTGCGCCGGGTACGAATCGCAGCACTGCTGCGCCTGCAGCGAGGAAGCTTCGGAATCGGACAGCGAGGCCGATTACGCGCCGTGCGGACGACGGCGCGGGGTGTGAGGGAGAGCCAAGCTCGGGGAACATGCTGCAAGATGCCGATGATCTGCCGATGGTACTGGAAGATTTTCAGAAATCGCACTCAAACCTATCGCCTGCCGAGATCATAGCTTGTTGCTCGCTCCATCGTCTCCGATCGGATCCAATCCCATCCGGCGCGTTACTCCTTCCGCTCCGTCGCGCATTGTGATAATAAACGGCCTCTGATGGATTTCTGCGTTTTCCATGGGCTCGAATTCAGTACCGAGAGACAAGACCACTGTTTCTCCATCTATAACGTTTCTATTCTCTCATGGATATCTTCCGATGAAATGCAGTCTTTCAGTCCCGATTTCGGTAGGACGTTGGGAGGTTCGAGAGATAAGCCCAGTAGATTCTCCAGACAATTCATTGCATCCGTATAGAACACCGTTGCGTCTGAGATCCTCATTTAGTTTCAGCAGCTTGGTCTCTCTGTTGCACCCCGATTCGAATCAGCAAGGGTCACGATTCAAACCTTGAAGGTCAAACTCGACCCGGACTGAGAAGTATACGGTAAAACTTTGAACGGCCGTTTCGGGGAGTGAATTTGAGGAAGGTCGAGCTCAATGCGTGGGTGGGCTCGTTTGCGGAACGTTGAGCAAGACTTCGAACCGTCCTTAACGAGTTCCAAGGAGTCGCGCGCCTCAGCTGACACTCCTACCGCTCGTTGGATACGTCGAGGAAGCTTGAGATAATTAATTGATGCACTGAGTTTGAGCGAGGTGTTTCTAAGTCAGGCTCAAAGCTGCTGATGAAAGACTCTGGCATGCAGTGACAGTTTCCCAGCGTATCGGCGTTGTAGACGATCGCGTCAATTCCCTTCTTGATCCCCTCCAGAGTATTTCTCCTGGCTTCACCGTTTCTCTCGTGCCCGATCGAGTGTATTTCGATCATTCTCGTCGGTTTCGGTCGGAGCGTAGATCCGTCCCCTGGGGTGGTTGCCGAAAGCCGTAACGGATTATCCTTCGATCGCGTGGGAAGGCCGCTCCGCTTGCTCGCAGGGATCTACTGCGCATATGGGACGTTCGAGCGATGTTCCCACCGGTTTTGCAAAACCAAAGCGGCATTACGCAGACAGCCGGGCACGTGGTCGCAGCCGCCGTGAGTGCTTCATTAGACGGAGAAAGAATGAATGTCGCAGGACGGAGGCTCCAAGATCAAAAGCTGATTCCGCGGTCAAGCGGTCCTTGCGCTTGGTTCAATCGCACGAGGGACACGATTCTATAGGGCGTAGTCCTCCTGTTCACAATCCAGAAGGAGAAGCCATGTTCATGCACTCGAGCCGGAATCGATCTGATGGCTGACGATCCAGCGACAGAAAAATGAGAGTCGGATAACTCATCACCGAAATATATCCTTGTGAATACGGCACCCGCTCCCGATTCAAACGCGTCAAGATAGTGATTTCGGGATAGCCCTGATCAAGGTCCCATGAGTTCGAGCAGATGCGGTCTCCACGCGCTCCCCCTATTTTCCTACTGATCTCCGCTCTTAGGGAGAACGCCGTTCTCGATCCGTCGATTATTCGGTAGCGGAATAGTCGGGAGCTGAGACGGGAAACTTGGATCCTACGCAAGGTCTTCGCTGCCTTACACCACATTCGTGATAGCGATCGACCTCCCCTTTAGGATTCGGTACCAGTCCTCCTTCAAAACCAGTATCGGGTCATGAAAAATCAGGTTTCGGTAGGAAGCTCTAGAACCTAGAATCTACATATACGAGTGACGAGGGCAGATCAGCTTAAAGAATCCCGAAATATCGTCATTATCTGACGTTCAAGAATATTAGCTGCAGCGAATTGTTTATACTATATAACCCTTATTTACGGAATACAAAATACAAAGAGTGATGCGAGATTTCTCCTGAAGGAGAGCCTCACCGGCAAAGATTCAAGATCGCTGCTGAGATTGGGGATAAATTCCTTCAACGACGATAATTATGTCGAGGAGAGATGCGAGATACAGTCTGTGCGATTTATTTAAGTTCGGGGTCAATCTACAAGCTCGGGGAGTAGAAAATATACACAAAGATTCATTTTTCCCATCAAGGCTCAGCATCCGGTTCGCAGTAACACCCAATCCTTTTGGCAGAGGGGACATCGCGGGTTTTGATTCACCCAGTTTGACATGCAGCAGTTGTGGAACGAATGGTTACATTCACCCCAGACGATGGCGCACGGAGTTTGATCGCCCGATTTCTTCTCGCTGCTGCAGTTCAAACAAACATCTGGAAACAAATCCGATTGATGGGCTACGTGCTCGGTTTCCGATATCCATCATCGACATTGAAGAACAGTAATAGCCAGTTTCTTTCGCTTATGCGCGGCCTCGGAACACACCCATCACTTGGATTCTGCATATGGCGCAAACATCGCATTCTACGTCCCAACTCCACATAGCGACGGCATTCCATTTTTTCAGAGTAAACATCTTCTCGTTTTTCGGAACCTCTGATGTGTCTAGCACATCATCCTCGTCGGCAGGACGCATCACGGGGGAGGTGGGGTTCTTCGCCATGATCCTGCAAAAACGGCGAGTGAGTAAGTGAGACCCCTGTGAGCAAGTCTCCCAAGCAGGTCGCGACGGAGACCTATACCAAGCCAGCACGCCCCCGGAAGAATCAACTTGTTCACCCGACGCGACTCCAACTTCGATTTTTTGCGCAGGCTGGAGACTCGCTAGGGATGCGCGAACCTCACGCTTGTAAAATACTCTTCGAAGCAGCCTCATTCACGGAAGCCCCGACAGCTCATCTGGCGTCGTTTACGAAAGTCCTCAGGAACAGTGGTTCCGCGCCAATTCGTATCTTTCATGCAAACTCCGAGGACTCGTCGCGTTTCCCACGATGGGAACGACCACGTCAAGGCGCTTGACGCTGCGAACGATGGCGCCAATCGGCATGCTGCAGCGACTCAGCAAGGATATTGAGGATGAGTCCTCACAGTATTAAGACGGGAATCGTCAATTATCAGAAGAGCTCGAGACTCGAGGGACATCGACGAATCGGAGACGACTTTTTCGCCAATGTCAAGAGGATACGATCGACTGATGCGTGAGTCTAGGAATCGCCTGTCGCGATTCGAGATCCAAGAATCCTTCATGAAGATCATGTTCATGACAAAGCTCCACAATGAGTCCACGCGAGTCACATCAAACTCGGACTGATCTCAGGACTTCATACGGAGAGACCTTACAGAGCAATTGTCATGCAACACCGAGTCATTGATCATAATCTCGAACTCACCGATGCGAACGAATTTGCCAACTCCGATTCCCACTTTTACCTCAATTTCTGAGGTGATCTGATTATCGGCTGCTCGATCACGAGAATCGGGATGGCCCCAATTGGCAAATCAGTGCGGGAAGTGATCTCATCCAACAAATTTTAAGTGTATTTCGTGAGACCGTGTGTGCTGACTTGTTTTTGTTTTCACTCTTCCGAGCGGCGGCTCATCACGAGAGTGCGAATCCCAGACACGCTTCCTTTTTCAGCAACGTAGCTACAATATAGCCGAGCAGACGAATTCGCGGGTGTTGTGGTTCCCGAAAGCCTGAGACAGACGGAGACCATCGACCGAATTAAACCGTCGTTGCCGCCTACGGAGAAATGATGATTTCATAAGTGAACGTTATGGAGTGTCTCGGTTGTATCCGAGCGTTTTTTGCGGCGAATCAACAAATTCCAGAGTATTCGAGGCTGCCTCCGGTCCATCTTGACACGCACTTCATGGGCAAGTAGTAGTCCAGACGGTGATCCATTCCGTTCGGTGAATCGAAGCCTGTCTTGAGTGGCTGTCGAGCTTTCGGCTCTTCCCATCCTAAACAGTGTGGCGAAGAGGGCCCTCAACGGATTTGATGATTTGCCGGGTGATTTTAGATTCCAGAATCGAAACGTGATTTTTGAGGGAACTTTCCGAGAAACTTCTCTGGCATTTGATTCCCCACGGAGCTCTGCGTGCAGTCGGTTGGATGGAGGCAGAAAAATGAATGTCGGACCATGAGCTTGGCCTCGCTGTTCGATCGTACCGCCCGTCCAACTATTAGAAGGCTCGACCGAGCTCCGAATTCGCGCTCGAGGAAACTATGGAGTACCGTTTCCCGGTCTGCTTGACAGCTCGAAACCGAGACTTTTCCGCCCGAGCAGCAGATTGGGCGATCAGCTGATCCCGTGTCAGGATCGTCGAGAGAGAGAGAGATCGATGGATTCGTGCATCTCGGAGAATTGAATAAATCTCTAAGCGATTCGCGCAAGCCTGTGTCTATTGACGATTTCCCTGAGGGGCCCAACCTTTCTCAGAACACAGAAGTGCACGTCAATAGTCGGACGGATCAATTCTGCACAACTTGTTTACTGTCCCAATGAGCACTAAGCAGCAACAATAATTTACGCTTTACGCGCTGATGCGACTCCCCAGAGTGTCCGAGAGCAGAGCGTTCGCGAGGCGGACATTCGGCATACTTCGATCGTGTATCCAATCCTTCTCCCTTTCTGAGTCTTGCGATCCATTTCCAGGAGAAAATGCCGTCATCGTCAAGAACGGTTATCGGTTGTGCGGCACAGGAGGCTCCTTAGCGAATCAACCTATCGCTCAGAACAAAGCCTACTTCGAAGTCAAGTTACAGCAAGGCGGTATCTGGGGCGTTGGCATTGCGACGAGGGAGGTCGACTTGAACAAGTTGCCTCTAGGAACTGATTACAGGTAAGAATGATTGCTGTCCTGACGTCTCTGTCCATATGCCTCGGCTCGATCGAACGGCTGCCCATGAATATTGATACCCTGATTCCCTCGACAGAAGTGTAGTCTTGAGAGACGACGGATGCGTTGTCGGTGGTGGTCAAATCCGGCACCGTCTGCCGCAACCGGTACAAGAAGGGGATGTGATCGGCGTCGCTTATGATCACGTGGAGCTTCAATTCGCCCTCAATGGTGTAGACCTGCAGGTCGCTACTTCCGGTATAAAAGGAGAGGAAGTCTATCCTGTCGTCTACGGTGAGTGATCTGTCATGGACTGCAGTCGGCCTGCAGAACTTCAGGATAGAATCCGAGTAGATTCTGGAGGAGATCAGGGAATGCTCCTCCTTCTGGAGAGGTTCGATAAAGAAAATTGATGAGAGTATTCCTCCGCAGTGGACGGAGGAGCCGTGATGGAAGCTGCGTTCAGCTCGTTCTACCATGCGCCACCGGCGGGCTACCAAAGAATTCTCGTCGAGCAGTCCTTACTGTAAACGCTGCGACCGCCGGAACGCGCGTCTTGCGCCCTGTTAGCCGTTTCTAAATCGTACATGTTCTCTCCTCGATGGGCCGGGTCGTCTGTCTCTCGAGACCTGGCACTCAAAACATTCCTCGTTTCGGTGGACTAGTCGGTTTTTCTGAACCATGATAGAGACTGTGTGCTTTTGCGAGTTTCGATCTTCGTCGAATGAATAGTACGTGTGATTTAAGTTAATTCTTCCCCATTGACGGACTGAATACCGGGTCTGCTGAGCCTGTAAGCATTAAGGATGTGTACAAATTGAGCAAACTTACTGACCAAAGATTTCCTTGCGTGGGCATCTCCGCCGAAATTAGCTACAGGATCCATATATGAATTATTACGCGATCGATGGAGCGAGAATAGTGAAGGCATGATAATATATGAATTGCGAAACCACGAATAAAGAATCTCTATGATTTAAAAGGCATCAGCTTTCTTATGTGGTATGGTCGTTTTATTGGCTTCATGGTTTCTCCCGAGCTAAGGTACGTAGTCTGTGGAACACTCGACTCTGATTCTAATGAATTAGGTACCACGGATTCACTCCGGCTTGGTCGAGGGGAGGCACTGATTTTCCTGAGAAAAATATCGTCGTATTCATATTTGCAGAACGTGACTGAGAATCCCAATCTGCTCAAAAAACCCATCATCATGGTCCATTCCGCTCAGAGATTGCTCTCGGGAGACGCAGACTAGAGAATTAAGTAAAAAATTCGATCTGTCCGGATTAGAGCATCTAAACCTGAACATCCGAAGGGAAAAAAGGGCTGACACAAGTTTGGCTTTGGCGGTTTCCATGAACTAAGCCGCCTCATCGGAGAAGTCTATACATCGAAATATCGTTACCAATTCTCCTCTAGACATCGCACAATACCCCAACGGCGACCGAAGGTCCCCAATAGATACGTCTGGAAGGATATGCACCGTCGCGACCCAGGGAGCCGTATATTCCTTCCCTGCTGCTGAGGGAACGATACCTAGCATAATCTGTGGTTCTTGCAAATACTGCAAACAAAGATTCGATGTGGTGGTTGTCGCCGCTTGACTCGCACTCCCCGCGCGGAGCACAGCAAGGTTAAGTAAGTCGCAATCAAGACCTTGTGTCGAAATGTACCTGAATCCTCATATTTGTTCAGAACTCAAACCTGTCTCCCTAAAATTGTCGTCATTCAGACAGCTCCACTCCTGATATCACCCACTTGCTTAGCCTAAAACCTAGAGAATATTGGATAAGCCTTAATTGAAAGATCAACACACATTCTCACGCATTCCAAGAAGCACACCGTGAACAAAACGTGCCTATCGTAATTCTCAAAAGTCATCGAAACTCTAAACAGTCGAATCAACTTTTGTTGAGCACTTTTTTCGCAGCCTTGATCAGGGGCACTATCTGACTCAAAGGGCACGCATTGTCCAAGAACGGATGACTCAGGAGCTCCTCAGCTGTCGCTCGTTTCGTCACATCGACTTCGAGGCACCTGAAGAACGAGGAGAGACATTCAAAGACTCGCAGACTGGCTCCTGAGCCTGACATTATCGAAACTCCGTCGAACTAAAGTCTTAGCGATCACTTACCTGTCAAGGAAGTCCCGAAGTTGCGGCGAGAGGTTGTCACCCTTGATTTCGGGCTTCCCGTTGGAAGTAATTAGGAACAGTGCTTTCAGAGGAGTTTCGTTCAGGTAAGGCGGTTGTCCGTCGATCATTTCCACAATCATGATTCCGAGCGACCAAACATCCACCTGGAATCGGACATTCGGCTTAATGGAGCAGGCTCGAGCTCGATGTCGACAATCAATCTCCCAGGAATCCACTTCGCATACGACGTCAACTATCCGCTTGATTGTTCACCTTGTTCCCATACTGTTTCTTGGCCACAACCTCCGGCGCCATCCAGTACGGTGTGCCGACCATGGTGATGCGTTTCTCATTCGGGTTCGAAATTTGGGCGCAGAAGCCGAAATCTGTTATTTTGACAGATCCGTCCATTCCCAGAAGAACATTGTCGCTCTTCAGATCTCGATGGATTATTCCTCGAGAATGTAGGTGCTTCAAGGCCTGCGAAAGGGGAACGTACGAATTACATCACTTCTCCAATAGGCCCGTGGCGCTCCCTTCCGAGCTATCGGTTTCCTCCGACACCTCTGACAGCAAGGGTTGGTCTGAGCTGGAAGGTTACTCGAGGGGATCGAGTTTCCTGTTTTTGCGTTCCACATGAATAGGTGCCGATTCATGTTTCCGCCGATTCCTCCAAGAAGTGGCTTATTGCTAGGAGATGACTGCATTTTCGGAACGCCAGACATCTTAATAGATTCAGCGAACAATTTTAAGCAGGATTGTTGTTTGTTTGGCACTTTCGAGCGCTTCATTGCATATGCGCGTGATTAAAACAAGCAGCGTCGAGGTCGAGCGCTTATGAAATTTCTTCTCTCAGAAGTCCGAGCAATGCTGCTGACAGCCTTCTCGGAGTGACAATCCCGCGCGGTCCTCGATTCCCGGTGCGGACGCAATTGAATGAGAAGCATCATCACAAGAATCACTCCGGGATAAACATCGGACGATGTTATTGATAACGACCCTATCTGCTCTTCTCCCGAGCGATGGCTAACTGCGTTTCTCTCAACCCCGGCTGTTAGAATTACGTAAGATAATGTCTCAACATTCAGTCGCAGAGACGCGAGATCATCCTATCAGAATTGGAGCCTCGCTTAGAACAATAACGTATAAATGTATAGCACAGTTAGGAGCACTGTAATTGACGCAGTGCGAAATGAATCGACGAGCTGTCGGATAGTCGGAATTCACTGGCCCGGGCTCGAGTCCGCAAATATTCGCTCTTTAACCGAATAGATGTCTACCGGGCCGCCGCGTTCCGCCTATCGCTTCAAGTGCGTGGGTCGAGATCAGTACGTCTTGCTCTGACTATGTTTCTTTCGGCTATCTGTCAGCTAGATGTTACGAAATGTGGGAATCCACAAGCCGTGGATGGACGTTCTCCTTAGAACGCTAAATCGACCTTTCGGTGCGTACCTTGAGAGTTTCCTTGCACACAGCAGCCATCTGGGAATCCTTCATGATTGTCTCGCAGACGACGTCCGTCAACGGACCGCCGTCCAAGTATTCCATGACCACCCAGAGATCGTTGTCGTTGACCAGATAGGAGGCGAGGTAGTTGACCAGGTTAGGATGGCTCGAGGTTTTCATCACGAGGATCTCATTCAAGATCAGTTCTTTTTTGGGTTGTTGAGAAAGATCGATCACTTTGATGGCCACCTGACACCGAGTTTGCTGGTCCATTGCTTTGTACACGACGCCGGAGGCCCTGCAATGACGAACGGTCGACCGACTTCAGAGACGTGTAATTTCCCGGAATTCCTTCACAACCCCTTCACGCTAGATTTCTGCCGATGGAGACTGGAAAAAGTACATTTCAAGCGGTTCAACTGAGTTCAGCACGATAAGAATGCACCCCGAGACCTTCTCCGGCATCACAAGATCGGACCACGACTTCCAATGATGGATACATTCGAACTTCCCGAGAGATCAATCGTGAATTTTGACGAAATCCCCGGATGGATGAAGTCGATAAATACCCTCTGTTCCGGCTCCGATTTCCAGTGATCGAATTCGAACTCAATCGATCGATTCCACCCACTCGCGTTTCCCTGCTGTTTTCCGGACACGGTGACACCGTTCGGAAAACGACGTGAAACGCGCCGACGATCCGGTGACGAGTAAAAAGAAACCTCCGCTGAATCAGAGACCGCCGCACAATGTGCTCAAGCTCTGCTAGTTTACGCCTATACGACGAGGGTCTTCGAACGACAAGCGAGAAATCATGTCATATCCATCACTCCAGCTGCCCCACTTTAGCCGAAAGCCCTGACGAGTCGCAAGCAAGCCTTCCAGAAAATTAGTCGTTGCACAGAGAAGTGTTCTGCTCCGAAGTCAGTCAACCATGCAACCGAACACAACGCAAAGAGGTCACTGGAACTTCACTTGACACGGCGACTCATTGTTCGCTGGTCGCTTGCACAAACATGTCATACATCTTGAACATGATCTCTGCGGTCAGACACCGCATGACAATGCGGTCTGGAACGAATTCTTAGCGGAAAAAAAGCGAATCCACTCACCCAGACCCGACTTTGGAAATCAACGTATATCTCGATTTCGGGTCGCCTTGATCAACGGCTTCTTGCAACCTCCTAATCGCCTCTTCCTGTGACATGGTCTGCCGCTTCTTAGGTCGGAGCGAGGGCTTTGTCTTCTCGGGAGGTTGATTCTCATTGACCTGGAATAATTAATGGATGTCATTCGTTGGGACATACATAAGTCCATGAATGTAATTTTTCTTTGACTCGGCGGATCATTAGGATTCGAATTGTGGCCGAGGGCCGTGAAATTCATCCGTCCTCGGGACAACGATCTCTTCATGAGGACGAGGGAATATTTCATTGCGTCACGGTGAACCGGCGTGAAAATGTTCCGATTCACGCTTGAATTATTATTCCTTGAACGGAATCCAAGTTGGGTGAAGTCCGGAGTGCGGCGAGACGCGGTACATCACGCATGCACACACGCGGTATGCCGCGCAAGATCTCAGAACATCGTAACCACAATTAAGCTCCCACCCACAAAAGATGCTGACGCGGCAGCGATTCTGCATAACAGAATGACACAATCTTTACCGGTCGAGCCCGATTCGGAATAAATCGACTTCAGGAGATTGATCTTTTTGAGACTGAGAGTTTCTCGAGGAGATGACCCAAAATGATGGGAGTCGATCCCTCGGATCCTCCAAACTCCAAGCAGAACGATCCGGAATCGATGAGCACTCACCTTGTCGAGATCCGGAGGGGAATCCTTCTTGTCTTTGTCTCGAGGTCGTCGTTCCGGAGGAATGAGTGGTTTGACATTGTCATAAACTGGCAGTTCCTTAACCACTGTTCGTTTCAAGGGTTTCGGAGTTCCCTGAAATCAGAATCGGTCATGTCTACGATGATATATCATTGAGTGAGCTCTACGTCTGGAACTCCAACTTCCCCTCGACATCTTGTCCCATGTTCGAATTTAGTTTGACGCCCCGCAAAAGTTCGACTCCGATATCACATTGTACGCTTCCGGCTGTTCAAGACCTTCGCACCTCCGGAGTGTGAAGACTCGAACGCCCCCTACTTTTCCATCACGAGCGTTCTGGTCGTACCGAAAGCTGCGATTGGACGAGAGGGATCACAGCGGCATTTTCGGAAAAATGTTTTGTTTCTCCTGGTAGCCAACTCGTCCTTGGCTGTCCAGCCACAGAATTCTTTCTTTGCGTAAAAAGATAATCACAGAACTGTGTAGTCCAAGTCAATCGTTCGTGATATACTGAATCTACACTCAAAAGGAAAGGCAACGAGGGAGGAAAACTCTAACAAGTTTCCACTTGTTTCGGACATGCCGCGCTGAGCATGGCCGCAAGTCGAACGATCGTAAATTCCTCTACGTCCACGAGGAAATTCCCGTCTGTGTAGAGAATGGGTCGGGACGGGTTCTCCATTCGCAGAACTCATCGGAGAGTTTCAAAAACGCAGGCACGACGTGGGCTCTGAGCTAGTATAGAAAGGATCCTCGTACGGATCCATTTTCGCCCGTTTCCTCTGGTATCCGGATCGACAAAGTAAGGAACGACCACGCAGCTACACACACATACATCGAAACCCGGTTGGAACGTCCAGATGAACTCCGTTTTGAGCAGCATTGCATCTCTCGACTTCCACACCATTGCTCAAACCTTCCGACACAGTCGTGGCATCCGAACTTCACCGCCTTAGAGTCATTCGCGCACTGCAAATCACTTCACCGTTAAATCGTGAAGCGATATAGTCGTCCCAACGAAGGCGACCCCGTCGTTCTAGCACCGTAGCGTCTACGAGCTGCCCTTGCAGCGGCGAGGGCGCAACAGACATCCAGCGAACTACAAATGTCCGTTAAGCCGTAAAAATTCACAATTCTCTTCAGAGCGAACATCGACGGCTCGGACGAAGGCTGCCGATCGAAAACACCGAAGTCTTCCACCGCCAATTAGCGGTGTTCGAGAGGTCGAGAAGTTGCCGTAGCTCACCGCGGATATCGAGGAAAAATCCGAAATTCTCGATTTTAGCTCAGCTGAAAACTTCGTTCCCCCCATCACTCCCACGCTCAACGCGCCGCCCCCAAGTCACTTCTCCGACGAAGAAATTGACCGACAAGTCAGCATGTCATATCGCGTGACGGCTATCTCCGCAGACGGAGAAAGTAGGCTGTCAGTGCCGACTACGCGAAACGCTCTGTCACCCTGTCGGAGTGACATCGAGCTCGGTCAGCGTCCGAAATCGAATGGGAGAATCTATAGAGGAAAAGTTTCTTCTGACAGTGTTTCACTGCAGCTGAGTCCCTACCGCCAATCGCAAGTAACCGCGAGCTCTCGCGATCGCGGAAGTAATTCACGCCCATCGACGTGGGTCCCGAGCTCAGATCATCTGGACTGCTCGTAGGTATTATACGATGAGGCGCGACCGATACCGCAGCCCAGAGCTCATTGAAGTCGCGGGAGCTGCCGCACATTTTGGACAGGTAGGATTGTCGGCAACAACATCTCGTCCATGGGTTGTCCTTGATTCGGTGGCGAATCGCCTCATCCAGGTCACTCGAGCGTAGGTGCCGCGATAAGTTCGAATGATCGAGGAAAATCTTTCTGGAATGTCTAGTGCCGACGGTAGCCCTCCGTGATGGGGTGGTGGACGTGAAATTGAGTCGCGCTTCAAAAGCTCCAGCACATAAACCTTCCCCGACGAGTATTCCTCAAACTTTGAGGGAAACGCGTCGCGGACCACAGTCGGGAACAGGAGGAAGGTGATCTTCGCGCCCCGCGGACTTCAGAAGCTCCCAGCCGCTGGCTCCTCAGGACATCTAGGATGGAGGCTCTGATTTCTACCTAATATCATGATCCGTGGCTTTTCTTGGCAACAAAACATGACGACGCGACGCTATCAGAATAACACTATCGAGTTCCGATGAAGTCTGCCGCGGGATCTTGTTTTTAGTGAGAGCGCGGATTTGATGAAAACTGAACGCTCGATATGGGAAGTATCTTTGTTTACGCTGGCTGTTGTGTTCCCACGCACTCAATGCTAACTCTCGATTGAAGTCAGCGCATACTCTCCAATGGTTTACAAGCAGCGCTCGGCTTTCATATTTCTTCATCCTGCAAACACTCTTTCGCACTGCGCAGCTCTGATGTGCCAGGTACGCCTCGAAAACATGAGATTCTCGCTAAAGTAGCAGGATCCGCTAGGATGGCTCGGAACTCTTCCCCGTTAAAATATCTCCCCGGAATAAGAGCTTCCTCTCTTGAGTAGTAGGGGAACCGTCGGGATAGCGGGTCACGCTACAGTTCACGCACCGAATATCTGTACTCGAGCAGAGGGTTCCTCGGTGAGATTTCAGCGCAAGGATAAAACCATGCGTTGAGCATGGTTTCATTCTTCGCTGTTCGCCCGATAATAGCGGTGGACTCAGCGTTGAAACAGCCGGAGCAGCACCTTTTTGTACAAGGATCCGAGACCCGTCGCGGCGAAAGGAAGGCTCATCAACTCACCGTAGCGTGTTTCGGGGGCGGAGGAGGCGGAGGGTCGTCATCGTCCTCGAGGCTTTGCTTTTTGAGGAATTTGGCGTGAGTTGCGTTGTCCTTAATATTGTGCTCATAGAAATCTATGGCTTGAACTACTGCTTGTGGGTTTTTTTTCTGTTCGTTTTTCGATATGTTCGCCTCCTTCAACAATTTCACCCATTCCGGAGGCAAACCTTCGACGGAGCCGGAGTCGGGATTGTACTTGACGTGGACCTCATGACAAACCTGTAATTACCAATAATGGAATGTTATCATCCAGAGTACCGATCTCATATCTCCATGTTCTATTTCTGTCTCCGGGTAATCTCGTCCCGATCTCCGTCCCCGCAACGCTCTAATCGATATCTACACGACCAATTTAATCGGACGCTTGGAGCTTTTTCGAGAAGTTGATTTCGATCGGCTTGGGAACAATGTCGTAATGGAAGAAGCGGACGCTAATCGATCGACCGATCCACGATGCAGCCTATCATCAGTCCGAAATTCTGCGTTCCATCGCGTCGAACAAGGTTTGATTCCGACGGTATTGAAGGAGGAAGAACAAAACCTTAAAACTCCTGCGATACTTTGAAAGAGCTCTCGAGATTACTGTTGATAGGTTTCCGATTGTTCTTTGACGTCGTGATTTACTAACAACGTTTGCAGACGATCTACGATTCGAGGCAGCGGATCGCATTCTTGAACTCACCCGGAACGGTGTCGATATCGAGAGCACCTCTTCAGAAGAAGAACTTTTCTTATTCCCGTTCGAGGACGACGACGATGACGACGAATTAATGCCAAGTTTAGATAGAAGGTTGTTCATTGTGGTCGTCACTGCAAAGAAACGTCACAGTTAAGAGGCTGCATCCCTAACCACGATCTCCACCGAGCCGCTCCCGCCACGCTTCTGCAAGATGAATTCACGGCGAGTAGCCATCCGATTCGCGGTTATCGAATTGAGCACGTCTCCGACGCCGGTGCATCCGGATCGCCGAAGAGAATCGGCCAATGTCGTCAGGAGAGCGATGCCAGAGCATCGAATGGATTCTACGCCGACGCCGCCACACCCGTAAATACGGCGCCCGCGGGCGCGCATGCAAGAGACCAGGAGCATGCTCGACGGAGAGCATAAAACAGAACACGTCCAGTCACTTCCAGAGAGGCGAATGCTCGCATCTTTGACAGAGGAGCAATGTCAACAACGGAATTCGTCGTAAAAAGAGCATCACGAGCTTTTTCACGCAGATCGGAGCTCCGCTGGATATCTTGAACCTCGGCAACGGTGGAAACCTTTGCCGGTATTGAGCACGGAACGAATCAACGGGAGCAGCTGAGCGCTATACGTACTATTGAGCAGTCGCTGTTTCGGGCCGTGTTCCTCCTACGTGCGGGCCCCACGAATCCAGAGGAGTATCGACAGATGGCCCGGCTCTCCGCAGCAAGCTGAACCGGAAAAGAATTCAAAATTTCTAAAAAGTTGCGGAGATTATCTGCTCACGGATGTTGCACAATCGTTCAACGCGGCCGGAATCCGGCCGAACGAAGAAGAGTTCTTCGGCGGCGAGAGAAGTCAGGCCAAGCTGCACTCGCCGCGGAAAGGCCTTGACGTCATTTACAAGACGTCAGGTCGACTCACAATCGAACACTCTTTTGTGGTAAACTCCCAAAAGTCAGAGAATCGCACTCGACTCGAACAGTCGACCGGACGACCTCTTCCGTCTCGGACAGCCGAGGACGAACGTTTTGAGGGACGAATACCAACGTCACTCAGGAGTGACCCTTCTGGAGGTTCGGGAGGTCTCCAATCGAGTCAGTCTTTTTCCAGAGCCGTTCGTTCCAGAATGATCTATGCGAGGGGAGAGTCGAGAAAACTGATTCACGTTAGGCTCGGGGCTCTCCGTCCCGGGCTCCAGTCTCTCCAGAACTTCTGGATCGCCATGCCAGCCCATGGAACATCGAGCCAGGTAATGCACAAGGTCGCCGCGCCGCATCGGGCGCGTCGTATATACCGCTTCGCCGAAAATGACTGTCTGACTGAGTGACTGACTGACTGGCTGGCTGACTGACAATGGACGGCTGAATAAGACCTGCTCGCCTACATCACCAGATCGTTATGAGAAGAGTGAGCTACCCGTATCGGAGCTTCGCATGGACCCAGATCTAATACATACTTCAGGATTTGATGATTGATTCCAGCTCTCGATAAGGGAGGATACGTATAAATAAGTCGAAAACTCGCTCCGAGTGTGGAGAATTTCAGCAGCCCGGCCGATGCTGACTCCGGCGGAGGTACCGAAAGGAGATCAGCAGGTTATCGGTACGATCCAAACCCTTGGGAGCAGCGTTTCGATGATTCATGACCAGTATTCGAGGCCTTCTCCGAGAGACTGCTCGCTACCTACTCCAGTTGACAATCTAAATGAGAACGAGAACGATAATTACAGGTCACAAAGCCAATCTATGAATCATGGTTCAAGACGATCGACGACCCGTCCTATTGTTAAAGATACAAAACGGATCAATGCACCGCGGACGTTTCAACGCTTGCGAGCTGGCTCTGTCCGATTGCAACTCTTCCATAAAGGTCGCAAACAAGCATTCGAGTACCCTTCGGTACTTGGAGCTCGTAAAGAACGCCATCAGATGCTTCTTGTCTCTAAAGAGTCGCTGAGTCTTCGTTCGGACTCGGGACAACGTTCTCCGTCTCTGTCGGCTCTGTGGTACAAGGAGGATTATCGGGCTCGAGTCAAATATAAGGTTCATCGAGAGAGAGAGACGATCATGACAAAGCATGCGCAGCTCTCGATAGTCCCCCGCGAAAATCTTGGGAAATTCAAGGAGGCAATCCAGGAAATCAATTCGAGAGTTTCGAGCAGACTTCGAGAGCAGGGCCATGGGAAGTTTTCTTTCGAAGACCACAATCAATGAAGACCGCTCCTGATGTGCTATTGACGGCAATTGTGACAAGAATGATATCACGGATGACGTTCAGCTCCCTGGACGGAGTGCTTTGGGAAACCGCGTATATGTATATCACACGGAACTAGGCTATACAGTTCCGGGATTAAATAAGTGTTGCACACCTGACGACGCAGATGAGCAATTGGAGCCCCCGAGTCGTTTTCTACGGAATAGATAGGAAAAATTCGGCAGACTCATATCAGACTTCTGCCACGGAACATTTGTGGAGCACGTCATAATGATTATGATGTGAAATCTGTCATTCGATAACCCATCCCGGAGTGCAGTCCCTCATGTTCTCCGCCGCGATTCCGAATTTCCGAGTTTGAGCGAGTTCCCCCGAGTATCCATGACGAACTCCGCTGCGGAGCTAGATTAGAGTCATGAGACAAGACTTGATCCTCCAACTCCGGAGAAATATTCAAATGACTGCTTCCCGCCGGCGAGCCCGTTTCGGCCCCGGCGCGCGGCCTACGGCGACGTAATCGAGGTTGAGAGCGGGGAATGCTCCAATGCGAGTCGCTTAGAATACCCATTTTGTAATTCGTGTCCATTCTCTCTGAAGGGATGTGCCGGGTAATAGACATGAAGTCTCGACAAGCCATACCCGGTAGGCACCGTGAGAAGAAAATATTCACCGTCTCGCCGCAACCCGTGTACATCATCCACAGCCGGAGTTCCAAACCCAACTGATACCTTCCCGTCACAGATTGATTCAGAAAGCGCGTCACGTCTAAATCCGCGTGAAACTCCGATCCATTCGAATCTACTCACTTTTTTTCTCCTAAGATTCGGGGCGGACCGGTGGATCCTCCCGTCCTCGAACGAGTGATTTCCTCCCGTCTTATCAGCAGCATGCAACAAGCGCCGTCCGAGGTATTCGAAACTTTACGAGTTTCCGCATTCAAACCGAACTCACGAGTCGTTTGCGAGAAAAGGACGCGCGAATACCTGTGCTCATTTTTCCAGCTCGAATACCGCTCGAATGTGCTCCGTGAGAGCAACGAACAGGCTGGAAATCGTCAGCCGCTCCAGTCATGCAGTCCACTCTCGCACCGATAGTACTCACTCGTTTCTGGACAGAGTTCGCCGACGGCTTAGAGCTTCATTGACGGGTAAACTTTCCGGAAACTTTTGCAGTCATCGCACTGCTCCGCGCTGCTTCGAGTAGTAAGCAGCCCGGACTCCCTGACATAAATGGTGACTACTCACGACGGCCTACCTGGGTGAGTCAGAGACCGCTCCCTTCCAAAGCTGCTGAAGCGTGGAGTTCAGCAGCCCGCTGTCGCGCGTTCGATATTCCCGTGAGCAAGATGCGAGCAGCCGACCAGGACGCCTACATTCTAGACCTTCCGACTCCGAGCCTATCTCACTGCTCCTCCTACACTGCGTTGCGTTCTCACTTCTTACAGAAACCAAACATGCGAGCCAGCAAGCGCATGAGAGGCCGTTCGGGATCCGACTTCGGATTTCGACGATGTGCTGTCTCAGCTGCTGAAATAGCCTCCGTCTCCTGTCCGAAGGGGGATCTATGATAAATTCGAGGAGGATACGTGTCCACGGTGACGGGAATCGCTTTCAAATCGTGACTCCAAGGAACTCCGATATTTTCCTTGTTCCGCTGACTAATACAGGAGTTTCCGAGCTTTAAGATCCAGACGGCGCGAAGTCATGATATATCCGGCATTGAGGGTTTGCGTTCGCACACGCGGACGTAAGCAAGGGATTGCAGAAAGGAATACGTATGCTGAGACTATTGGATATTTGTTCAGGTAGATTGCGGGTCGGATGCTTCGATATCGAATCGCTCGACGGGGGTAATTTCATGTTGACGATGAGACATCGATGATCTTTGCCTGGAGTTCGTCAGGACATTTGGCGGTAGCTCCCCTCATTCCTGTGAGAGAGGCGATTAAATCCCCCCTTGCAAGTTCCCTCATGCTTGCTTGAGTAGCTCATCCTTCGAGCTCGGTGCGATGGAAAACATCCGCATCCAGCTTGCGGATGCGATCTGCTCATCCTCCTGCACCTTCATGGGGGGAGGTCTGAGCCTCCAATCGGGCTTTGATCGGAATATCAGAACCGCTCGCTATTTTTTGTTTTCCGAGATCAACCCAAAAATGTTTCTTTCAGTTTTCCAGGCAAGAGGAGCGAGCCTGACCTGCGCTACTGGAACTGCAATTAATACCCCAAAAGGGAGCGTGATAATTATTATCTTATTGTTCACGGAGAATGACGATGGGTGGGATCCCTAATGAGTTGCTAGGCCGGCGTCCCTTAGGCTGACTCGATACTGTTCGTCGAGACCACTCTCAAGATTCATCGAAAGAATTTCATGTTGGGAAGCATCTGCCTCGACTCCTGAATTGACTTTCGAGCTTTGTTCGTGTCAAGCTGATCTAGCCGTTGGGCCCGTTGGGCGCGGGCCTTCGAATCACGAAAGAGAAGGTAGTGAGAATTGAGTAAGCTGAACTATTCATGGTTCACGAGTGATCCTTCCCCCATCGTGACGGAAGTACTGGGAGACCTTTGATCTGATCAGACACGCTGATAGCTTCTTTTCGTTTTTCTCTTCCTGAGAAACCTATTCGATACCAAGAGAGATTCGGGATTCCAATTCGTCGAGTGTGAGATTCCTTCCACAGCACCACTTCAGTTGTGGACGCCTCCTGTCATGCGGGAAGAATCGGTTCCCCTCAGCGGAGTGCCCGACAATGAGCAGGAAAAATCCATAATCGAATGTTCCTCTTGGTCTTCATTCAGCGTTCCCCGCATTGTTTCCTGCCTCAGATTTCCTCAATAGATTTCCCCTCTTATCCCCTTCATACCTCCGAGGTTTCTCGGGCTACCCGGTTGAATCAAGAAGTGCCAGCATGATCTATGTACTATAGCTTGTGAAGCGTCGTGATGTGTGACGCACTGGAGAAGTTGCGGGCTCTGAAGGGGAAACCCAGCACATATTAAGCAGACAGGTTTAATGGGATCGGATTCCAGCGATTTGGCTCAATCATTCAAACTTTTGAGGGCGACCTCCTCCCGGTGAAGTCTTCCGAAGCTCTCATCAATGAAGTGCTCTCGATTCTGTTGATGGAGATAAAAGTTTCTGCTCCCGTAGCCGATATCCGAAGGCATCAGAATGCCAAGGTCGAGGCATCATGGTCGGGACCTATCGTCGCACGATACTCTCCTACTCCAGGCCGGATTGAGGAAGCCCGTACCCTTTCCCGAGGGAACGAATCCAAGAGGAGTTTCAGTGTATGTCCTGCATGGAATCTACGGAGAACGGGCGGCGCTGGTCTGCCAAGTTTCTAGAGTTCTTGGCTCTCACGCAGAGATCATCATCACAAGCGGCTGCAGACGGAGGTCTGCCAACCGCGCATGATAACTGCTGATGATAACCGCTAGTCCAGAATTCTGGACATTTCATAAGCTTGCCATGCCGGGTCTTCCTCGACGTTTCCAAGGGATGTAAGCTAACAGCTTACCTCGGGAGAAGTGTTTGTGAATCCCTTCGAAAACACATGTCTGACCAAGACTATGGCGGAATCGGAAACCGCGCTGTCCGACCTTTCGGAGGAAGATATTCAGTTCCCTGTGCAAACTCTGCGAAGAACTGTGTCCCAAGAATCCGGCATCTCAACTTTAAGCGGCGTCAGTTACCAGCCACCGGTACGTTCGCTCGAAGAGCTTTTACGGCGTGCGTCAATCAGTTCGGACGTTGTCAGTCTCTCCGATCTCTCGTCATGACTCAAGGAGGAAGTTCTCAGAGATGAGGATTCTCTGGGAAATTTTTCCTGCGAGACATTATTGGACACCCGAAAACAGGTTGTGGATCGAATTCTCGCAGAAAACTTGGGCGACCATTTCGAGAATATCCGAACGAAACTTTCCCTGTAAGCTCTGAGCTACCGCCTATAATAATTCCTTCATATTATAATGACCTGATGATGTAACAAACGGTCCCATGCTGCTTTGACCGGTGACATGCGCTGATTTTTCTCTCCTTCGACGATGCGTGCCCTCATAGCTCGACCCGTACGGAGTCCCTCCGTACCCGCAGCAAGAAAATTATAGCCGGCCTTTCGCGCGTGTCCGATGATAGAACGCCACCCTTGTCCTTGACACAGAATATAGAGACCAGAGATTCTCGGGGAGTCTATTTTTAGTCGATGAAAAGCACCTCATCAATACCCGTGTATGCGGCGGAAGAGAACGCGCGAACGTAGGGGTCGAAGTCCTGTTGCTATCCTGTTAAGCAGGAGGATTGCCGTGCTCTCGTCCGGCTCTCCTGGAGAGACGACTTCTTCGCACGCAACTCACTGATCTCAGGTTTCGAGCCCTTCTCCACACACTTCACAGATACAGCTAGAAGCGATTCAGTCATGATGAAGCTCAGACTCCAACCAACTCTGATTGGGTATGACCAGAAGACAAACGGAAGACCTTCCATTTGACGACCACCTTCCGTGGATGAAGCTTTCCCTCCCGTGCTCGGGGGATTCCCCGTGAGCTTCCGACCTCATGGGAATTGGGGCTCACAACGGCTCTGCGGCAGTTGGTAGACTCTCGAATCTGCTTTGAGCCCCCTATTTGAGCGTCGATTTCATCTCTTCGAATGTCTGCTGGTGGGGCACTTCCCACATAACTGCGCTGCAGGAGAAACAGGGGACTCGAGTTGGGTTTGCGACAGATGTAATCCCCGGCTGCTGAGACCAGATTCTACAGATCAATTTCTGTGATAGCCGACAGCCAGGTGCTCTAATACTCTAATGGTCAGATCTCGCTGTAGCTTTAAGATCGCTGCGATCCCATCGGAGACTCTTCGACGGCTCGGACCCTCTCCTCTGATCTAATAAGGGCCATGACGATAGGCCGGGCCCTGCGGATATGAATCAGCATTCTAGATACCCGCAACTCCCATTCGGATCCTTCGCAGCTTCGCGTAGGGCCGCCGCCTTCCTCATGATACCTCAGTCAGTGAAACTCATTGCTACCTGGAGCGCTTTCAGCATTCTCAAATTCTCTATGAGGCGACGAGATCCCCCTGGTGCAAACCACGGAAACCTGAAGGTGCAGCGAGGATGGGTGATTCAGAACGGTCAGCGATAGAAGTCGCGAGCCGTTTCCCGATGTGCTGGTCTCTACAAGGTTCTCGCATTCCAGTACAAGTTCTCCCGTATCGATATTCAGTGTTGTCCGCTCATTCCGATGAGAGCAAATTATGAATGCAAATTAACGTTCGTGGTGATGTTACATATCACTGCGGCATTCGACAGAGTCACATGAACTTGATCCGGAATTCCACCGTCCGTTCACACTGTCGGATGCGCATTGTTCGATAGAATGAAACCCATCGACGGCCCTCACGATCAGATTCAGACGCGAGATTACCAGCTTATTCTGGCCCAGTGTATAGGGATCATTCGCACGAATTTGCAGGAAAGGGAGATTTTTGTAGCTTATTGCAAAAAGGATCACGTAAAGGGTAGCGAGAAAGTCATTCCGCCAGCTCGGGATGTTGGCGAATCCCGAAGCTGGTCCTGTGGAATTTTTGAATCCGGGCTGTGTTCCGCTATTCAGTCGGGCAGTCAGAAGTCCGACGGCCTTTGAGCGAGATGTGCGCGCTTCCGGATGCTTTTAGGAACAATTCAATGAAAATCACAAGAGACTCTCACGAGGCGGAACTTCTTCCTCGATTCAACGCGATGTGCTCAACGTTCATCCTACCGATATCATTCCGGTGAATTCCGCTCTCGGACGGCGCTCATATTGATCGCTGTGCTCGATTTTCCCTCTGCTCCCCAGCTCCGTGCGCTCCGAGGAAGTGGGAATTCGTAGCAAGTGGCTGACACACCTGATTCCGCGATCGCACAAGAGCTCAATTCCAAATTTCTCATTTCCTTTGAATATCTGAGCGGGAGCGCTTCGGTCTCGAGAGGGAAAATCAGATGATTTTGATCCTCCCGGAGGGAAGAGTGAGAAGAATTGCCGACGGCGATCGGTCGTCCGCCAGTCGCTGGCGATAGAAGCTCAAGGAGAAGATGATCTTTGCAAGAGAGTCTACCCTGGAACACACTTGGCCCCCGAATAGACTCAGACGGAGGGATGGCCGGGTTCGGAGGAAGACTTGTGGCAATGGGATGTCCATGAGGGAAAGATGAGTGAAAACTTCCGGAACACCCTGCTAATCAGCTAAGTTCTTTCGGTCGTGACGAACCAATCATTGGTCATCAACTACCCAATCGACTTCGCAAAAAAATTCTTATATCGAGCCCAACGTCAGCATTCGCCGTTGAAACCTAACAGCGCTTTTGATACTCTCACGACGCGTCCGATTCCGTGAACGGTATGCAGTTGCTGCCGAATCTATTCCATCCTATCAACGGGAACGTTCTGATAGATCGCGTCCCAAGCGGCTTATAATTGTAAAATAAGCATCAGCTTTCGCGCTTAAACGTTCGGAAGCAGCAAAAACGCGATCCGGACTCCGCACACCTGTTGATCCTCATCGGCCACATCAAGTATTTTAGCTATCGACCGAGCTCTCCATAATTTGCTAGAAGACACGAAATGGCTGCTGTTGCGAGAGCGTCCTCTGTGGAAACATCTCTGCACCTTCGGGTATAGAATTATATTTCAACGACATTGAGTGACGCGCCGCTCAACGGGACCCGCCGCTGAGACTGACCACCTGACATGTTCTCATCCATCGTGGCATTTGAAAAGTGTCCGGGGCCAGCTCCCTGCGGCATTCGAGGCGTCGCTCTTCGGGCCACCGTACTCTGGATAATAATTCCCTTTGATTGCGGATACAAACGGATGGCTCCATCGGCCATTACGAAAGAAGTCGATCCTGTGAGTCTCTTCACTGAACTTCCAGAGCCTCCTGGGAGATGCCTGCGCTCACTCGGAGATTTATTGTTTCCAGGAACGTACCTCGACGCCCACGGGATACGATGGCCGTTCGTCGATGGGACCGGAGACGCCTTCGAGATCGCACGACCATAGGGGCGTCTCCGCGGATGAAGTGAGAGTGGCAATCATGAAAGGCAGACTAGACACTGTTCGCGAGCTCTATCTCGCAGGTGAATTCCATGAAGTTCCTCGGCGAGGAATGCATTCGTTGTTCTGAGGGTGATTGACGAACCGACTGCATTCATCAGACAAGGGTATTTTCCGTCAGGGATCGATATCAACTCGATGTTGAACGGTGGTTGGACCGCCTTGATGTACGCCTGCTCATACGGAGAAGACGAGATCGTGAAGTACTTGGTCGACAACGGAGCCGACGCGCACTCTCATAAAGGTTGGTGTGCTACTCGAGGGGTCACTTCGAGTCTCACGAATGCTCTCAGAGAGGGGATACATTGCGATTATGAGCTTGATCCCTTCTTCGCAGATATGTTCACAGCTCTCATGGCAGCTTGTGCATCCCGAAGAGATTGTGAACCTCGGCTCCTTCAGTGCTGCGAGTATTTGCTGGAGTACGGGGCCGATGTCAACGCGGCCGAGAGGCACTTGATGACACCTCTCATGTTCGCTTCGAGAGAAAACCGCCCGAACATCGTCGCTTTCCTCCTGGAAAATGGCGCAGACATAAACGCCAAGGATTGTCGTCACTGGACGGTAGGGCCCGAAAGACTTGACGACCCTTTCGATAGGCGGGGAATGGGAGGAGGACGACAACATGATGGGAAATCTCCCTTGTCTGTATCCGCTCGAGCCATAGAATTGTCTACTACTCTACTTCTTACCTTTTCTCCTCCAGCCGCTCTGTATTGCTGCGTACGCCGGAAATATATCTGTTCTCAACCTGTTGCTGAACCACGGCGCAGATCCTAACAAAGTTACACTCAAAGGCCATACGGCTTTTGATATCGCTGAAGTGAATGGGAAGAGAATTGTTGCAGATGTATTGAAGAGAGTCACGAGGATCGCACCGGCACCCCCAAGATCACCCATGCCTCCGAAATTGGAGACTGTTGCAGAGGTTTGAATTTTCGGCCGACAGCGCTTGATTTTCTCATTATTCTTCATTCGCTGACGAGGACCACCTTCGAAAGAGCGACTCGTTTCATTTTAGGAATCCTTGGAGCTCAAGACAATTCCTTTGAACAACAATGCTATCCCGTTGAAGCCGAAACAGCATACCCGTCAGATGTAGGTTCTCCCGACTACAGAAAAGAACATTCTCTATGCTCTCGGGCTCCCATTGCGATTCTCATGTCCAGTATTTTTCAGTGTCAATAAAGTTGATCAGAACGACGATCTCTATCTTTTTCTGGCTGGAATCGATCTGCTGGACTATCTACCGTTGTTGAGGGAACACAAAATCGACTTTCAAGTGCTGCTCCTCCTTGAAGACTCCGATTTTGAGAAACTCGGAATCACGGAACTCGGAATTCGGAAAAAATTGTGTGCCGGAATCCTGGAAATCCACAAACAGCCATGGACCAAAGACAGCCTCGCTAAATTGCCAAGCAGATTGACGTGAGCTGCGTGTCCGATTCGATTGCCGCTCCAATCGCAGGAACCGCACCGAGAGCTTAGTATTCAGCAGCATTACCGTCTGATAATTCCTTCCAGGTGCCATGATGTGAAGAATATGCTCGAGAATCTGACCTCTCACGTTGTGTATATGAAAACTTCTATTTCGTTCATGCTGCGCGAAGTGAAAAACGACGCAACCGTCTTAGAGAAAGGAGTTCAAGACACTGGGGGCATACAAGCCTTGCTTCTCGAGGTAAGCGATCAACCTTCCGGCGGACTCAGTCAGCGAATTGGGGAACACCTCCCATAATCCATCGGACTTTCCGCCGAATTCTACGTTTGCTATGTTTCCAGCACGAGTCTTTGCTGAGAGCGGAGAAGGATCTCCAGACTGAATGCGAATCTCTGCAGAAGTACCTACAGTCGGTTAGCGGATGTTCTCAATACAATTACATTAGATACGGTTCGCCCCGAGACTCGGGGTATCTAGGGATTTTTCTCTCTTTCCTCATCGGAACGGGCATGCTTTTCGTAGTCAAGAGGATGTTTTAGTCCACGCGTTGCATGTTGGACTATTCGAACGACAATGGTGTTTGGAAGGTTCCGCGGGCATCTGGATTCTTGATCATTATTAGCTGGAACTCAGCACAGATGAGCCACGGAAAACCCGTCTGAGTTCCCGCTCGAGGGTGTAGTTCAGAACGTCAACACAGGGCTTGGCGGCTCCGGCCACCCGAATATAACCCGGCTTTAGTCCTGGCCCGATTGGGGGACCCGTCTCCGATCGTGGACCGCATCTCCGTCTACGAAAAACGTCGTCAGATAACGTGGAACCCATCGGATTGAGCATGAATGAATCAGCCGCCAGGTGAGCGTCTGATCCTGAACTTCGGGAACGGTTATCAAAACGGACCGGATATGATTCGAACACCGACTTACGGAGACTCAGGATCTACCGGAACTCTGGGTTTCTAGCTTCTAGACTTCGATGAGAAATGGGAACTCGATTTCGAATAAATGAAATCCTTATTCTTCAGCCTGTGTCTCTTATCTTCAATCGAGCTAGTGCATTCTGTGAATCAACATTGTTCAAACAAAATCTTGCTTTCCGATTCCGATCCATGTCGGAGTTCCTGGATTTCGGCGGAATTCCCGTCAAGTCTGTCTTATAAGGGATCAAGTCGGTCTCTTGAGAGCGTTCTAATGCTGTCTCGGACGGGCAGATTGCCGAGGATCGAGGATGCGTGCGCGTGTTCAGAATTCTGGATATAACCGTCCCGTTGGCGTCGATACCAGCGATGTATCGAGAGACCCAGAGCAGCTCTGCGAACAAGGTAAACGGTCGACGACGGAAGGGACGGAATCGAACAGAAGGTGACACGCAGTTTCAATGAGCGGGACCATTCGAGATCAGAAGGAGTCACGCAGAGTGAGGGCTCTACTTCTCGGAAATTGAAATTGCATAGGCACTTTGTTCAGTTCAGCCAGCATGGTGATGCTCACGTGGTGTTTGTTCTGTCTGGTACCTGTCATCAATGCGATAACCGGAGGTCATGGGTCAGAAGCGCGGTACGATTGGTTGGTTAATGGTCTATTGTGGTGTCATCGAGCATCGAGAGACGGAAGGTTTCACCCCGACTCCTCAGACGGGGAAATAAGTTTACCCCAATGTCGCTCTGAGCGTTCAGGCATTGAGTGCTTCACGTTTCGGACAGGTTGAACTCCACGCAAGCCCCTAACGCGACGTCAAATGGTACTCCAACCGCTCGGCTGCATCATCGCTTCAGGATCGATCACCGGTCTCCAACTGGTGACTTCACTCCAATGGAGCTGAGTTTCCTCAGGCGAGTCCATTGGACGATCCACATCCTTTCCAGGCCTTTCGATCGCTCCGGAGGAATTGAGAAGAGGTTAACCAAGTGATTCTCTTCAAGGAACAGACTGTTGGTGAGGAAATACTCGAAGGAATCTAAACTTTCCAAAGAAGGGGCGAAAAAACTCCTGAAAATCTTCGAAAATCATCCTCCGAAGATCGGGTCCAAAGACGAAGACAGATCTACTTGGTCCGAAGAACAATGGAAGAAGGAGGAGGTCGATGCGAGAATGCATCGTAATCGCCTGAAGAATCTCGCCTATGAGTCAATCGACGAGCACAAACAGCTGAACGTCTTCTTCCGCAAAATGGAAATGCACGAAGAAAACTTGAAACGCGAGCTCAATCGTCAGATCGGGGAAGATCTCCGGAGAATCGCGAGGAGGAATCATCTCGATGAGAAAGAGTTCAAAAAGTTCATGGAATTCCGTGAAGCTAACAGACCCGATATCCATTGGAGACGAAATATGCATGCGAACGAACTGAAGGTAAATCACAAGGAATCGGCGGTCCTCGGCTCAAACGTAGAGATGCCAACGCTCCAGTTTAGGACTTGGAAGACACGAGAAAACGCTTGATTCTCATATTAGACCCTGAGCCTCCGAGCTCCGCTCCCTGGGTATATTCCTACCATCATTTCTCCGCAGAAAGCAGACAAGGCTATCGAAGACAGCTGGAAACGCACCAAAAACGCAACGCTCGACTGTGTCAGTGAGAAGGAGAAAACGCATATGGAGAAGTTCTTGAGTGACGTCGAAGAAACTTCTGCTCGACGACAGCATCAGAACAGCCGGGTCAAGCTCTTCTTCGGGAAACTCTCAAATTGGTTCGTTCGTCGACAGGAAATGCGAAATTCCGTGGTCATACCAAGGCTATGACTAAGAGCTAAGCTTTCGCAAATTCGCCTGAATGACTTTTCAGGCGCCAACAATTGCATCGACCCCTGATCGCGGACTCCAAATCTCCCTCTCAGCTCTGAGGTGCCCGTGATTGACTCGAGTTTATTGCATCGGACCACGAATGGCATTCCCCAGGCAGTTATTTGGAACCCCAACCCCAAACCTGAAGCTTTTGAAGAATTCTAGCGCGTGGTGAACATGGCTGTGCCGCGCGACGTCGAATATGAAGTTGAGGTGCTCGAATCGGTGATCATCGATTTTATGGATATCCCAGGGTGGAATGCCGATATCATTCGCAATCTTCAAGTTCTCCGTGGTTCAGATGTCTAGCTCTGCTGATGTTTCCACGATTAAGCCATCAGATGGGATGGGGGCTCAAAGAGTCTCCGACTCACTTCCCCGGTGGATGGATAGATCTTGAATGCTGTAGTAGAGCTTGATGATCTTAGCGTCGAGCAGGGGTGGTCCGAGTGGACCGTAGACTATAATGTTCTTCGATTCCTTCAAACCTAAATTGATGAGCCTTTTGGTGAAGGGGACCGTGATCATTATCGCGAACAGAGCCGTCGCAGTTGCTCTGCCGAGTCTGCAATATTCTCACTCTAAGATGAAATGAGGGATCCTTCCTCGGAATTTCATGCGCGATGAGCGCCCGTTCCGAGGCTCGAGGTCCCATCTCACGGGGACAGAGAATCCTCGATCCGCCGCTTGTGGGGAAGTGCTCCAGTCGCAATCACGGTTTCCCTGAGTCTGCGAATACATTTAATCCTCACCTGCGACAGGTACGCTAGATTTCGGAACGATTTCCCTCCGGGAATGTGCTCAAAGAACATAGGGAAACGAGTCTGTAAGTCTCGAGGAGATTCGACTAGATCGTTGGAGTCTTGAAGGAGCGATCACTTGATCAGATTATCTTGATGGACATCAGCGGCGAATTTCGCCTGATAGTTTCGTCCCTCGGGGTTATATCGATGAATTCCTACATTATTCATGTAAGTTCCTTGTTCTAAGAACGAGATCGCCAGCAGCGAGTCGGCACAGGTATGAAACTCTCAAGGGCATAAAATTCCCAAGACTTTAGGGATGCTGGTGAAAAAAGGCCCAAAACGATTCATCTCCATGATCAGGTCCTAAAACTAGGTGAGAATTAGTCCGGCTGGCGATCGTCGGATTTATCGGGGAACGCGATCTATTGGAAGACTCGAAGAAGGAGCTCTACCCCAGATAGGGGATCTCTGCCATCCGAAGACGGAGTATCCCTACCGAAGGCCAAACCATGGCTTGGCGATTATGTCAGCACTCCGGCACCAAGAGAAGCATCCTCCGCGCAGTCCTCCGGAGGGAGCCATCGCATGGATTTTCGAGTTATACGACGGCCGTTTCGACAGAAGTGCCAACACGGAAGTTACACTCTGTGAGAAAAGCGCGGCGAACACCTGGAATCCGGAATCTCGTGGAAAGACACTCGGAAGCCGAAAACAGCGATCTCCCGACTTTTTGCTCGCAGAAGACCTCGGAATGATTAGTCGCCGAGATCACGAGATCGATTTGAGCTGAGTAATCGCACAACTTGACATCCAGGAGTGAGTAATCGGAGAACTTTGTGCTATTCTTAACCGGGTCGGGAGTGCGATGCCTCCGACCGAAGGGCCTGCCCCGGCTGCTCAGGAGCCAGACGTCGAAGCCGGCGCCGGCCAACAATCAGGCTGGAAAGGAGTTAGGCGGACCTTCTGTTCACATATCTCTCGATTCAGCTCGAAGCAGATGCTCATTCATCATCAGATCCATATCCGGTCCTCTGTTCTAGCGGCATGTTTCTTCGATAATTCTTCAAACCTCACCGTTGGTATGATTGTCTCGCTTGGAGAAAGAAGCTGTCGAGCTCATGAAGATGCCCAAATCTCCGACGACTGGAGTTCCCCTGCTCGGATGATTGTATATCCTGTGCATCTCGATTATATGTCCGTCCTCCGTTTCCAGAGTGTGCGACTCGAAGAAGTAGCCCTGATTACGAGCGAAATCCTCTTGCGAGAATCACTTCTGGGTGAGATATAGACCCTCGCCCGGCTAAAATCTCTCAGCGAGTTCTATAATTTGCAGCCAAAACATTTCGACAGTCTCGAGTCTCGGGCTAACTGCTTCAAGTACGGGGGCAAGCTACCTCACGCCAATCCACTCGAGAGGCTCGAAATCTGACACCCTCAACCAGGAGAGAAAAAACAGGCAGAGCTCCCTATCGCTCGCTCTTTTAGCTCCTTGTTCGAATCGAGTCTTTTCCATAGTCCAGCGAAGGTGTCAAGCTATCGTGAATGAATTATACGCCCCAGAAATCGGTGCAAGATGTTCCATCCGAATATATAACCCCCGATGCGGGCTCATAGCCAGGAACATGGAGTACCTCCTCGCTGGATTCGCCTGAGGTTATGAATTGATATGAATTCAACCTCGAGGAAGCTCTCTCAAGCCTGGATTTTTCGGAAACGTGGAGTCGTGCGCATCCAGCCTGTCTGATCTCAGAAGAATATTGCCTTTCACGTTCTCGGAATCCCATCCGAAAGCACAGCTTCCGACTTCTCGGTGCCAGCCTATCCGCTCTAAACCGCTTTTTATCGAAGTCCCGCTCGGAACACTGCGAGCCTTCGGTACCGTTGGTATCGTCAAGGCGATGATCGCATGGAACGGTGGAGTTGATGGGGCTCTTTCGACGTTTTTCCGGATGTATTCTTTATTGAGGACAGCTTCGGAGACTCTGATATTCTTTGGGGATTTCACCAAAGAGTTCCCGAAATCTGGATCCTCTATACCAGGCGGTAAAACTCCCTCGAGGAACGGAATGATAATTCGAATCACTGGTCCGTCTGTCCACATATCCATGAGCAGGAATCCGAAGCCTATTGCACAATCGGCGATGGCCAAGGTACACCAAGAAATCTTGCTGATGCATTTCCTGATCGTAGAATTTTTGTGACGCCTCATTGGATTCCAGGAAAGTCAACAGAAAGACGGAGGCCACACAATAGCTCTGTCAGTTTTTCTCTGCTGTTGACATAGAGTTGGCGTATGACCGCACTCGAGCGAGGAAAGTTATCTCCTCAAGTTACAACTTAGCAGAACGGTGGGAGTGGGAGTCCCGAAGCTACCACCTGTCCTCTAATTTAGGGAACGGGGGATAGAATCTTGTTGGATTATTCGATCCATCAAATGGGTCGCCAACACTTATCGGCGTCGTCTCATTAGCGCTTCCTCGAGCTCCACGGACCTGATTGGATGCGCTTGGAACTTAGTCAAGGGGAAAAGGAAAATTGGGAATCCCTCCTCGTTCGAATAGGCTCCTGGGCAGAGGCGCGCGCGGGGGGGGGGGCTAAGGGGGCAATGGCCCCTACCAAAATTCTTCGGTTTCGATGCTAAAGTATGGACCCCGAGAAGGCGCGTCATCATCTTTGGTCGTCTGGCCCCCTCCAAAACTCTAGAACGGGCTCGATTGCTTCTGACTCAGACAGGACTTACTCAAACACGGCCAGTTGTGACATACGCTCCTCTACCGGAACACCGCGCCAGCGTGTCCTTGAAGGGACCGTGTAATATCTGAAGTTTGATGATGATGTCATACAATTTATATTACAATCGACGAATTCCCCTACAGCCGATGTGCTTGAGCCAGGAGTGGCTTCATCTCCATCAGAGTGTCCACTATGCTTCGGTAGAACCGTTCTGCGGAATGGTCTTCGCTCCGGAATGCGGTACAAGCGACGATGATACTGGAATATAAGAATCGACAGCCTTAAAATGACTCGGAGGATCCAGTGAACGATTTCGGTATTCTTTCTATTGTCAAGCTCACTTACTTATCTTGATCGAAACTGTAGAAACAGCCGTAACCGTCGTCAACCATCGGCGTGACGCATCCGATTAGCGGTGTGAATCCGTTCAGTGAGGTGCTGAGCTTGAACTTGCCGTTGCCTCCACTTTTTTCGAACGACGCGTCCTGGAACAGCTCCGGCAGGGCATCTCCCCCAAGTTCCAGCCACGCCTGGATAGCCAATCCCATGAGGTGCCTGTCGCACCCTTCCGCGTTCAGACACTCGAGCATTGTGAGTGTGAATTTCTCGACGGCGAGTCGCAACAATATCGAGAGTTCCGATGGTTTGCTACCTGCGAGGAGCGCTCGACTGAAATCAACCGTTTCCTGGGAACACGATCGGCAGGTTTCCGTTCGTCCGTGATAGAAAGCTCGCGTTGAAGCCGTGCAGTACGTAGGAGCCGGTCGCTCGTGTAGTCTCATGAAGGCAGTCTGGATAACGATTTGGAAAAAAGCTTCCGGATGAATTTGCGACCCTTTGAGGAACTCTTTGCCGTAGACGTTGAATTCTCCAACGAAGACGTCGATCGTGTCCGCCAGCTGATCGTATTTCGTCCGCGCCTGTGCAATGTTCACTTCGAGTTCCTCATCCAATCTGGAAGTGGAAATAATCAGTGGGGCAGGAGCTGCCATTCGACAGGACCGAAGACAGAGTCAAGAAATTTCGCGTCCACAACAATTTACCCACTCGAAATCGATATTGATCGGCTCCCTCAGATTCGTCGGTCTTACGGGTCCCATGGGCTGGTCGTTGAGATCGTCGATCATGGTCGAGAGATGCGCCCAGTGCGATACACAGATAGGGACCATACCGTCGAAGGGACTGTGATCCGAGCTGGAGCCCACGGTGAGATTCTTGAAGAATATTAATTGGAGACTTTTGTCAGCCCAGCGGTCCTCGCATCGACCCTTAATCGATTCTCGCATGATTTCCGTGCGGGTTTCCGGAGAGGTTTCGTCCAAAACGCAAACCATGAGGGCGTCCTCAATCAGTCTGGGAAAATGGAAATGCGATCTCACTCAGTTTGTCGTTCATATGATATAATAGTTCCACCATGGAAAAAGTGAAGGAGAGCTGCCGAGTGATTAAGGGAGGAGAATCGAAGATGCTGCGAGCAGATTTGAGCTCGCGGGACTCACTTGAGCTTCTCCGCATTCGCTCTCGATATATCCTTCAAGTGCTGCCGGTCTTGAGCCCACTGATCTCGGTCCTGACACGTGAGACCGGACACGCCTTTACCGCGAGGCTCCCTCTGACAGAATCTCTCAATCTTCTCCAACGACAGGGCAACTTCAGCCGTCGTGAGCGGCTGTTTCTGAGCATCACACATCTCTACAGAAAATATATGTCCCCGGCTCAGAACGATAATATTAGTCGGAATGTCCATCTGCTCACTTTCCGTCATGAAAACTGTGCGTAGTTCGTCCATGCCCTTAAGAGAAAAATTCCAGCTTTCAGTCGAGGTAATTTCCTACTTGAGAATCCGGAGGTACTATTCTGAGCGCGATCTGGGTATTCGAATCAAGCCATACCTCTTGAGGTATGCGTGTTGTGTTGAAAGCGCGTCGGAACTGATCCATGCTCCATGGCGTATCACGGAACTTTTGGGGCTTCAGCTTTTCGCGTCGGATTAAATGCCAAAAATTCACGTAATGGCAGAGACCTTTGGCCGCGTATTCGGAACGAGGTCCCTTGTAGTTTTTAGCGAATTCAAAGAGGCCAAACGCTCCCGCCATATTACTCAGCGGGATCAACGGACTTCTGTTCCTCAGGTAAGCAACGTCTCGCCACCAATCTTCGAGCCAATTCCTGTGGTCGTTCGCTCTCTTGAGAAGCTGTTCCTGCAGCTGTCGGCCAACCCCTTCGAAGGGAATGGATGTTCAATTGAAATCCCGAACTTGGATCATTTTGATCGTCCGACATTACAGTCGAACCCGCTTATAAGAGACCTCTCGGGGAATTGAAAATGGTCTCTTATATCCGGTTTCTCTAATATCCGAGGTACGGTCTTTCGATGAAAAGACCCGAAACATCTCGTTCTCGTATGACTCGGATGCCGGTATCATGATCCTGTGGAGAGACGATCATTTTCGGAGCAATGATACTATCGAACTGGCGTATTATCTCATTCGCGCAGGTTCCGAGAGGAAGAGGAGTCATGGAAGAGCAAACAGAAATTCTACTTGAGACGGTTCTCTCTTATATACGAGGTCTCCAACATGGAACTCTATGGGGCTGGGGTTTGAAAATTGTCTCTTACATCCGGTTTTCTCTTATATCCGAGTTTCTTATAAGCGAGGTTTTCAACATGAAGCCCTATGAAGAAAAAATCGGGGAATCGGGATCGGTCTCTTATATCCGGTTTTCTCTCTTAACCGGTTTTCTTATAAGCGGGTTCGACTGTATTATGACTGATAAGAAGCCTCCGGGAGACATTCCCTCCATGTCGATCCGGCTCGGCTCTGATCGGCTCGGGCTATCAGCTGGGGCAAACGTACCATTCTCGAAACGTCTTCCGAGCTCTTCCGTCTTTGCGAACTCATTTTCAGTGACAAAAGGTTTCACCGAGTCGAGATAGCGATTCAGTGTGCGCTGCAGACTCGGCACCGGCAATGGCGCCTGGGACTCATCGTTCTCGAATGTTGAGCTACCGTCGGTGCTCACGTAGAGCCTTTCTCTTTGAAGTGCGAGTGAATCCGCGAGCTTCGAACTCTGGAAATAAAAACAGAATAGATCATCGATAACCGATACGGATCTCGGATCTCTTGGAATCGATGGTGAGGGGACGAGGGATCCCCAAGTTCCCCCTGTTCGCTCGTTCGTCTCCACCATCCTCCAAAATGATCGGACTGTGAAAATGCCGCCAAGAGAGAAACGACTGTCGTTACTAGTTATCTATCCGAATCTATTTTCTATCCTTCCGCCGTTCCGCAGACTTGGGCAGCGATAGCACGACCAGCGCTGCGGCACAGCCTTGGCTGCATCGGTGTCCTTAGCTTCTGGATGTACCGTTACAGAAATCCGTAGTCATATCGGCAAGTCATCGGATGACTCTGAACTGCTGTCCGTATGCATTCCTGGGATCGGCCTCACGATCATGACAGGCCTCTCCCACGACACGCAGGGCTATCTTTGAATCATTGATCCCCAGTCTAGGTTCCGCGGATTCTCTTCTGCGCTCCTCTTCTGAATATCACCAAAGCGTAGAACGCTGCGTTACGGCTACCGCTCAGGCGGTATGACAGTCTTCCGAGTGTTCAGTCCTACTGCCGAGTACACACTGGAGCTTTCTTCTACATCACAGTCGAATTCAAATCGGGTCCTGTCCTCAGGGTGATGCTCATGGGAAGCTCGTCGACAGCGTAGCCTGCGATTCGAGGCAGAAGAGGCGAGAATAATTCGAGAACATGCCAAATATTTACCGTGGGCTTAGACGCCATTGCTTGACGGGACAGACAGCCGGGATCGTTGTGAGCCGAGAACGATTAGATTCGGGAACGATAGTGAATGGTGGTCGCGAGAGTGGCGAGAGATCTACCTAATTGTACAGATTTCGAGAAGATAATCGAAGGAAGTTTAGATTCCGCCCAGGAGGATTTGATAGGGGAGGGCTCCTGTATAGCTTCTTGTTTGAGGGCTTAGCAGAGTATTGGATTTTTCCCCGGAATGTGGATCTAATGATTCAATGGCTCCGACAGAAACTCCGGAAACGATCAAATCGAGTACTTCCTCGTGAGCAGAGATTTCTGTCAGACTCTGAGACTCGGCTCGTGTGGTTTTCGTAGAAGTCGATAATAGAGGGCCCGCGATATCTTTATCGTTCAGTTATTCGCTATCACCTTATCATGTTCGCGGGTGGTAGATAAGGATCTTCTCCCGGACGAGCATCGGAAGATCCGACTCCGAGGAGGATGACAGATCGCGCAGGACCCGGTGGTTCGCAAACTATTTCCATCCCTCGGAGAGAGTCGCGCGAGAAGACCGAGCCATAACAGCGTTGAATTTATAGAAACTCCATGACGGTGGAGGATTCACCAAGTTCGGTATTGTCAATGTCCCAGCCTAGCTGGTCGCCAGTTTGATGGGTTGGGAACCAGGCAGATCAGAGGAATTAATCTGAACCGAGCGGAAGAGCACACAGCCACTCAGAGGTAAGAACTTCCATTCATCAATCAGTCATCACAATCGATGGCCACAGAACGGATTCCGGGGAGAGATCGCGATTCCGAAGACGGCGAAGTTCACTGTCCGCAGAACCACTGAAAAGCCAAACCTACTTGATCGTGGGCTTCAGCCCAATCCATGAAGGATGAGAGGCCGAACTGGAAACTCCGACGAAAATTCTTGTTTTGAGTCCCCGAGAAGGGCTAGACGAAGCCGTGTATCTTGTGCCACCAAAGCCGCCGTCAAAGTCGCCGCAACCTTCACCGCGCTTGGAAAAGTCAGCTGAGAATGAAGACTTGACTTCACTTTCTCGCAGTGCGGATCACGGCGAGACCCCGACGGACAGCCACAGCAGAAGACGCACACAGACGGATGACGGTCAGACGGACCGTCCGCTCGTCGGTCGAGCGAAGCCGGTCCGTCTGCAACCCCACCACCAGGGGAAGAGTGTTTCCTGCGCTGTCCTATTGCGAGCCATTCAATCAGCGAGGAAGAAATCGATATCGACCCTTACGCTATATGAACGATGACAGAAGTCTGAGCATTGATCTCAAGATATCGAGCCCACGTTGCCGGAGAAGAGGAACGCCGAAACTATCTGAGCCACCGGGGTTCTGCCTACCCCTCTCCGTGCTCCGGAACGATTCCAGATTTTACCTCGCGCAGACGTAGCGTAGGGGAAATGCTCGAGGAGATTGCCCGAAACCATTAGAGAAACTCTGTTCAGTCTCCTCTGCTCGAACATATCGCTTTCCGTCGAGTCCACTATTCTCTACTCAGGATTTCCATTGTCTAAGAAGGAGCGGTTTCTCAGATTACAGAGGTCTCACTGGAGAGGCGAGTTCCGTTCTCATTTTATGAGAAGCAATCTACCTGATACCGTACTAGACCCGGGACCGAGATCATCCACGAATACTGAATTCCGCCGCAGGACGAACCGGGTCTTAGGGGACCGTCAAGCTGCGGGCAAAAGAGTTTGTTGCCCACGCTGCCCAAGTCAGCTGGGTTTGCTGAAGCTCCTATGGTAATCATGGTACGACTCATCTCTCACTGAAGGAACCGATCATCGAAGTTTTCAGTCCATAGAAATCGCTTCGGGTGATTCCCACGGAGGGCCTATTCCAGATCATACGCAACTCGCTGACTTGCTCAGCGGGCTCTTCTTGCCTCTCTGCTCCAGGCTCAGAATTAGTTTTGTAGCGAAGCACTTCCGCTGGAGTCCCATCCACGATCTACCTATGTATTCAACATGAGGCGGGCTGGCAGGCAAATGCTCGATAGCCGGCGAATATAACCGTGCAAGGAAACGACCGTCATCGATCAGATCTCTCTTCTATTCCCCATCGACCTTTGCTGTCGACCGGGACACCTGTCCGGGTCAGCGAGGGACTCCGTCCAACGCTTTCCCCGCGCGCGCGACGCTCCTCAATACGACTGGTCTCACAGTCATAAGCTCATGAGACGGGCCTCCGGCTGTGAAAGCTCTCAAACAATCAATGACTTCGAGGCCCGCGAGGCGCAGATCTCCGAGAAAAATTGAATTATAAGGGTCCCGAGTGCAATCACGACGGATACAGAGCGGCATCCACGGATGCTTGGATGATTCCCAAGTTACCCGTCACGCCCACCATCCGACCACCCTACGGTACCGGCTTGTTCCTCAATCCAGAACCAGACTCAGTGACTTCATCATCTCCCTCAGCCGTGCGAAATAAGCTCAACTTGTTGGATCGATTCAGTACTGATCATTTTTCTGCGTAGACTGAATCTCTAGCAAAGACCAAAGACCGCCTCTCCATCAGAATTGGAATGCAGTGGAGACAGTCAGCTGGGCTCCGAGCGCCGAGTAGGGCCGTCGATGGTAGATGGCGATCCGTCGTCGCTAAACGACGGAAAGTTATCCTCTTGCTACCAGACGTGGATCAGCCATCAGCCGCTGTGTGACATGCACCGTGAGCGGCTGAGTCTTCTGATCACACACAGTCAGAAGCAAGTCTTCCGGAAGCAGTGTTTGGCTGCTCTAATAACTGTCATCGCTTAGGCTGCCATTGAGCGGATAATCAGACGTTTCTGAGCCGACTCGGTGAGTACGGTATTGAGGATCATGCTTTTTTTTCTCTGAGGAAATCTGGAAAGAAGGAGAGATTTTCTCTAGAAGCCTGGGGCATCCCATCTGGTCGTTGCTTCCCTACTCCAAGTCAACTCCTTGGTCCTCGGTCTCCTAGAACTCGACCTCCTCGTGATGACGGTCATTGGCAGCCCACGAGCTCGTCGGCGAATACTGCAGAGAAACTTCAGATGGGTTAATTCGATTGGCTCTCGTGCCTGCGTTCTCTGAGCTGATTCTCGACGAAGGTTTTTGAATATAAATCCCCAGCATCATACGCATTTTGAGGGAAAGAAGTCGTTATCGATTACACTGGAGCAACGCTTTCTTTTGGATTTTTTTTCTCACGGATCTGAGATCATTTCGATTCATCGAGCGAAACATTTCCTGAGACGAGTTTTCCCGCTCAGCCCCAGGGGGAATCAGCACGACGAGATCACCTGACGTCATACCGTACTCCGAACGAGTGTATCCGGCGACATCCCTTATATATGTTGCGTTCCGATCGGTGTGTTCCTGGTAGACTTACTGGTCCCACGTGAGACTGCTTTGTGCGAGTCCCTCGACTCAAGTCTTTTTCTCCCAGAGCAAGCTTGTGAAAGCATCGGAAGCGCGTCGAGATCCGGGGCGCGACATCTGATTTCTGTCACGGCCGGGTGACAGCTCATCAATGAAACCGCGATGAAATAGGCAAACGATGATCTCTTCTCGTGATAATTCAGCCCCTAGAAAGGCGCCTCCTCATTCGCTTCTGCTCCATCGAGAGTCCTGGCTGTTGGAGGGCAACCTGACGTTGGAAGGCCAGACCCATTTGAGATGCCGTCGCTTTTCCTTCGATTTTCCCCTGCGAAACTCCGCGGTCACGAATAAACGGCCCCGTCCTATGTGAAGCACATTCGAAAAAATCGTAACTCTCAACATATGGGCGAATATGAGCGATCGGACTGATTTCATGACTCTTCACAAGCTCGCCATCTTTCCAGGAACGAGGTGGAGAGGGCCCGGTGCGATGCGGTTGAAAGTTTGATAATCATTCTGACTTGAGCCGCTAGTTTGACTTCGTAATGGGGGACGGGTGGTCTCTATTCCTTCTTTCAACGTCGATGTTCATCGGCTGTTACCTGAGCGGACTGGTTCCCGTCTCGTTGAAGCTGACCGAAGATAAGATGAACATAGTGTCGATTTTCGGAGCTGGTCTCCTGGTAGGAACCGCGCTGACTGTGATCATACCTGAGGGTGTATCTACATTGTATATGTCCCGTTTGGAGGCAGCTCACACAGAACATCATCTCGACCTCCCGACCAAGGACCATCACCATGAAGCTCATCATTTCGACGATCCTCATGCTCTTATAGGAATTACGTTGGTGAGTAACATTCGCCTGATTCTGATCGACGCAAACTCCAGGCGAGACCCTGTACTCCCGATATCGAAGTCCCACGGTTCGAATGACTCGTTCAGCCATCATGGTTCTGCTCTCTCCACAGGTCGCAGGCTTCGTATTCATGCTCTTGGTCGACCAATGCAGCAAGGGAGGGAGAAGCACGGAAGAACTTTTACCTCAGCCGAATGGCGTGGGCCGCAGAGCGCGACCCGGGACAGCGACACTGGGTCTGGTTGTTCATGCGGCCGCCGACGGAATAGCTCTCGGTGAGCGGTCGAAAATCGCACATGGAACCCATCGTGGCTCCTCTCACTTCAAGCGCTCCAATTCTTATCGGTTTCCACCGTTGAAAAGTTTTTTTCTCTCTCGTTCGCAGGCGCCGCTGCTACCACTACGAGGGCAGAAATCGAAATGATCGTTTTCCTCGCGATTATGCTCCATAAGGCGCCGGCCGCATTTGCTCTCGTTACATTCCTGTTGCATGAAGGCTTGGATAAGGCCACCATAAAGAGACATCTCCTGTTATTCTCGGCGGCGGCGCCTATACTAGCGCTCACAACCTTCTTCGGAATCAGTCAAAACACGAAGGAATCCATGGCGTCTCTCAACGCAACGGGAATCGCCATGCTGTTCAGCGCGGGCACATTTTTATACGTTGCAACTGTGCATGTTCTGCCTGAACTCGCGGCTTCGAAAGGTTGGTGAATCGACTGGAACACGAGTTCTATAAGATTCGGATATTTCACGTATACTATCTTTGAACGTATACGTCGAGACGTATTATGCGGGGATGCTGAGGTTAATGAATGGGAATTGATCGATCCTTCCCTCGCAGCTTCGCATGCTCATCATCTGACCGAGATGAGCGACACTTCGGGATTTTCCCGGAAGGAGTTGGTAATCCTCGTATTCGGGGCCATGATGCCGAGCTTCCTGTCCTTCGGGCACCACCATTGAATATTTGTAAATGATTTGGGAATATCTGTTCCCTATACGTCTGTGGAATGTTCCTCGGGTGCGTGACTACGCCCTTGTAAATAAAAACGTTTTTAGGCCGTCAATGTATTCCCGAGACTTATGGCGGATAATATGTTCATGGTTCAATGTGAATGGTCGATGATGGTCACGAGAGCTTTATAAAGAAAGACTGTGAACCACCGGGAGTTAAGGAGTCTTTGGCCTGCTTGAAGCGCTCCTCTCATTACAGCTGGGTGCCGAATCTTCGGGGAGGGACGAGCGTCTAGAAGTTCTCCGAGCTCTTGCATGGACCGGAACTCTCTCATATGCGCAGACTGTGATCAATTACGAGAATACATGCAAGGAGAGAACTTTATCGGTATCGATTGCTGCCCGCCGCGGATTTCTTCGCTATTTGGGAAAGAATTTCGGAGCCGGCGCTACCTCGGAGCGCTTGCCTTAGCAAGGGAGAGACGAAGGAATCCTATCGATTCATCCTACAACCCAATTCAATGCTGATGCCGGACTTCAATTCACCGCGATTTATTCACCACCAGACGTCCGCAAAAAAGAAAATAAGTACATATAATTACTTCTTGCGTCCTCCTCTCTCTTTCAACTGAAGTTGAACGATACCATTCGTGATGACATTATAGAACGCCAATGAATTGTTGTCTTTCACGAAAATTCCATCGTAGACGAGCTTCTGTTTCCCAGGTGGCATACCCGTGATTTCTTGTATCCTCGATTTCAGCGCACCGAACGTCTCCTTGAGAGGGACATTCACCGATGCGATCTGTCCGTTCAGACGCCATTCTGGTTTGTCCGCCATGTGCGGCACAGCTATTCTGACCGCGATCACATCGGGCTGAGTTCTCAGGAAGTCTTCTTCGGGAATCAGCTGATCTTCGGTCTTCGCCTTTTTGGTTGTTGGTTCCTCGCCCGGCGGAATCTCGTCTTGCATAGGCTGTGGAGGAGGCGGAATCGCCGACGGGACCGACATCACGGGCACAAAGGACGGCGGCTGCGGGATCATCATGATCGAGGGATTCGGCGCCATGATCAGAGGTGCCATGATAGGAGGTCGAGGCACCATGACCTGAGGAGGGGGTGGCGGGTGAACTCCGGGCGGGGGCGCTTGATGAATTGCGGCTGAAATACCCGGAGGAGGCGCTTGGCTTAGACCCGGAGGCCCCTGCTGTATTCCAGGTGGCGGCGCCTGATGTATTCCGGGGGGTCCGGTCTGATGAATTCCCGGCGGGCCGGTTTGATGGAGTCCTTGTGGCAGATTCTGTCGAGCGACAGGAGGAGGAATCGACGGAGGAGGTTGAGCCGGCTGGGCTCTACTCGTGCCCGGTTTGGCCGGACCGATCTTCTCCTTATCGTCGTCAGCCACCAGACCCTTGGTCTTGTGGATCTGTTGGATCTGTTGCACGACGGTGATGTTGGCTCTGGCCTGCCTCGCGACGGATTCCGCCGTGGCCGAGTGTCCGTCCCAGATAGGTCTCTCGGGCGGCTTTTCTTCTTCTTCTTCACCCACCCGCATACCGATGGCGGTCTCTTCCTGACCGAAGATATCCGTACGACGTTCAGCGAAATGTTTCAATGAGCTCTCGATCGAGGAGCCTTGGGCGAAGACTTCCTCCTGAGTCATCTTCTCCTGGATCTGTTTGTCTCGCTGCTCGACCCAACGAGGATCAAGCAATCCAATACGCATGTGTTCTTCCATCTTGTCGGCCGGCACGCGTTCTCCAGTGATTGGCGAAATGAGGAATTTCTGCTGAGCGGCCGCTGGAAGGGCTCGCTTCTGCTGGGACGGGTTGAAATTCTTGACGACGACTTTCTCCGGCACGGGAGGCACCGGTGGTGGGGGCAACATTTCTTGGGGTGGTACTTTGTGCGGCGAAGCTGTCACTGGCATCGAAGGAGTTTTCTTCGATATTTCTATTTCCTCGTCAGAGTCCTCGACTTCCATCTCGACGTCGATCTCCTCGCTCTCGAGTCGCTGTTGCATCAGAGCTCGCGTCCCGACCTCTTGCGGTGTGGTGGGAGGCGGGAAGTTCCCTTGTTCACTCGGCAAATAGTCCACGGTCTCGACGATGGTGAAGTCGTGCCAATCGATCTGAGCGTACTGAACGCGTTCCCTCTCTTCGTCTTCTTCACGTTTCCGTTTCTCGGACTCCTGTAGTCTGATCCACTCGACTCGGTATCGTACGTCATCTAGTATTTTCTCAGGGTTCAAGATTTGTTCGCTGAGCTCCTTCTCGAAACCATCGTCCGGTATGAGGATCTTCGTGTACTGTTCGACTAATTTGCGAAAGTAGGGGAACAACGAATGCTGCGGCCGAAGGAAATCGAATTGGAAATTCCTCTGCTCACGATTCATTAGATTCGTTTGAAAATTCTTGCCGTTTCGCGCGACGAATTGCGCTGTTAGCTTTACGATGTCCAGCTCGATGCCGGAAATCGAAGGGGGATCGACGATGAACTCGAACTCTTTCGGAGGGTCTTTTGGGACGATTTTCGGCTCGATCATGCGCACGATCTCCGGCTTCTGTTGAGGAACCGGCACCGGTTTAACTTGGGCGACAACTTGATTGGACGGTGGTGCCGGTACCGCCTGCACTTCTTCTTGACCTTTTCCTTCCTTGAGTTCCTTGACTTTGTGCTGATAGTAGGCATGGTAGGGATCACCGGGATTAAGAAAGTTGAACTTGGCATTGTTGATCTCGTTCTGACGGATCCTCGCCTCGAAGTCGGGTCCATTGCGAGCGACGAAGCCCGCTGTTTTGTCAACTATGTTTCGGAGCTCGGGCGGCGGATAGATGATGCCGATCGTGGGAATCTTGAAAGCTTCCGTCACATCCTGAGGATTGTTCTCCGAAATCGGAGGCATCACGACGCCGCTAGAGTCGGAGCTTCACGAAGAAAACAACAACTACTCCGACGAGTGACTTGTTTTCTGTGTATCAACGTTCCACACGAGAATATCAAAACGTTTTGAGAGCGACGATGGATGCATTCTGTTTACAAGCGGCGGACGAACCTTCGCCCGGGACGATTTGAATGGCCGCGCGCCTTACTCTCGGACCGCGGTGTGGGACGTTGGCTGTCGTCAGAACTATCCACAAGCAAATGTCCAACGAAGACTCCGTAGTAGAGGCCGGAGTTGCTCGTGTCTGATTATTCACTCTCCGTATATGTACGAAATACCTGCTTTCGAAGACGGCGGAAAATTCCGAAGTTCATCATCCATGCTCCGCAAAGATAATTCACTCACGGGTATCGAGTCGAGCATACCATCTCCTTCACGTGACATCTTCCCGCAGGAACTCCTCGGGGCGTGAATACCCCTGTAGTAGTATCCCGCCGGGCTCAAGCCTTGTTACTGTTCAGAAACATTTCGTGGCGAGCTACCCCTTAATTACTCCCGCGCGGGATTCGTTCGGGATCTTGGAGCCCCTACGGAGTCCGGCTTGGCGAGTTTTGCGAGAAAACCTCGAAGCGGACCTGGTGAAAACCATAATTCGAGCGAATTCTGATCGCTGCTTATTGTGTTCTCCGAGGTGGCATGTTCCGCTTAGGTAGCACCGTACTCTTGGAAACCGCTTTGTTGTTCGATTACTCCCCCGTAGACCTCCATTATTCCCGAATCATAGAACAGTGTCCTACGCATTGCTCATGCGGAAATTAATCATGCAGTATCTCTATCTGTTCTCCTATTTAGGCAGAATTCGGCTATGAGGCGGGCGGAGTTTCAGAAGACTCATGCCCCTTCGACAAAGCTAGCAAATGAAAGTTTCCGCCGACGGCTTGTAGGTTTATCAAGAGCCCTAATCGCGATGGCACCGCTATGGCACGAGGTGTGGAGAAGTTCTCCTGAGGAGCAATTTAGCATTCCGAGGCCATCGATCTTACCATAATACGAATCAACTTCCCAGAAACCGGGAAGATATGACTTTCGTGGACGGATTCTGGTTGCTCACGTATCCGGGCGGATGTCGTCCGATACTTGTATATTTCCGCAGGCGGCCAGGATCGAACCTTTGTGATGGACAGCCCAGGAAAAGCTGCGCGGAAGTCTCCTGTGGAAATACCAATTCTCAGTCCTACTCCGATAGCGATGCCGACGTGGCAATTCAACGTCCGAACTTGAGCCTCTCGGCGGCGGCGCATTGACCGTTCGACAATCCCGTCGGTTCAAGAAGAGCAATTCTCAGGGAAAAATAAGCATACTAGAGTCGGATTCTCCAATCGTCAACTCGGTCGTGTAAGGACCTGGTTTTCTCTCGAAAGGGGCAGGGGCAAACTTTCGCGATCCGCACTTTGTCTTCAGAGCTTTGAAGATGGCAAGATTCACGGCCCGTTAACGTCCCGTAGTGTCGACTTGCCGTTCGGAGGAAAAATCTGTCAGTCCTGCGAATTACGAAGACTGCACAAGGAAAGGACTCCGATCTTCATCCCTGCTGCTCCTCTTCCTAAGTCCGAGATGAGCTCACCTCGTTTGCTGAGCCCGCAGATCTGATGAGGATGTCCACATCGAAAACTCGATAATTTCTCGGATCTCGTCCGGATGAGGAGGCTAGAAAATCTCCAAAAGAAGTTCCGAGAAAAAACATGCTCGATATACGTATCACAGGATCACTTCGCGGCCCAGAGAGTCGGGAATCCTGAGATGAATCCGCAAAAACGGCGACACACGGAGGATCGCTCCTCTGGACGAATATCGACGGCTCCGTTTGTTGCTGTCTCCCCCTTGATAAAACACTGTAATCCCAAACCCCGATGAACGGATTCGCGCCTAACGGGGAAGCGAACCGAGGTTCCAATTACGAACTAGAAATTTGAATGAGTTCGTATGTGGAAGCGTGTGGTATGACGCTTACTGTTGAAACACTTTTACTTCTACGACATCCGTAGCCACAGAGGTGAAAGTTGTGGTAAGAGCGCGCTGTGACAGCCGATTTGCAAACGCGAGACATGAACTCCAGTGACGGCATCTGATTCTCCCATCATCCGACTATTTTTCCCAAATCGTTTGGTCGAGAATCGAGAGCAAGCGATCGCGGAATGATTTCGATGTCTGAAGAATTCCTGCCCATGGCATTCGATCTTTTTTCTCATTCTTCCCCGTCGTTTTTGGAAAATTCATCGCCCCTCGATAGAAGGCCACAGGATGGGTACCCTATCGACCGCGCTTATTCGATGACTCTCCGTGTGACTGATAAGTCAGTTGTATCTAAGGTTAAAGGTACTGGAAAGAGGTAGGCATGGCGTGTATGTATTCCGGATAAGTTGACTGGAAATCGCCCATACGAGCCGACAGTGAACGAGCTTGCAAGCTCTTTTCTGGCGGTGGAGATCGAAATCTTCGCATCGGGAGCGTCACCTTCTGCCTCCGTTAGAGCTCCGCGGCGGACTTCCACGGATTGGGACGAACTGAACTTCTTGCACAGGAAGTGACAGCGGCGCTGAGCGCCCGACTAGCCGTCGATACGAGGACGACTTCAAGCTCAGACGAAGTCCCAGTCACGGAAAAATTATGCCGCGACACGAATCCAACTCACCTACACTATTCTGAGCATTCTGAACGGAAATTTCCCTCAGAGGTCAAACTGTGGACATTATTATTGGCGAACACAAATGACGATAAATCAAAGCAGGTCGGGCCACCGTGACTGAATGCTTTGCAGTACACATCGCGAATTTATTCGGAAACGAATTTTTCCACGATAGAAGTGGAGGAGTCCTTCCGTTCGGCGAAAGTCGAGACAGGCCGTTGAGTGCGGTTTCTCCGAATGCTCTTGTGCTGTACCAATCGACCGTACCTCCCCTATAAGTTGAGCTCAAGTGCGATTCCTATCTCATTCCAAGGGGATGTCCTCCGGACTTCCCGCAGCCTTGGCTGCCACTCGAATGAGTACGCGGGGCTTGGCAAGATATTCCCTCGTGGATTTAGAGGAAGCCCCACGATTTCAGATGAAAGTCGCCGTCATCCTCGAAGTGTGACGAATTCCGCTGTGCTCCCGATAATGATCCTGTCTGATGCTCGTCGCATGCCTGGAGCCGAAGGAGTCTCGCTCTGAGCATTCATGTAGCGAACATTGCTGCGAGCTCCTCCAATCTCAAGGCTGGCTGCGAACGGTAGGCTCAGTGGAAGTTTAGCGTCATCGAGCCAATAAACATCTATATAAAGCTGACTCGATCCCTTAATAAGAACATCCTGCCCAGCTCGTTCGTCGGCTCACAACCGATCCCTCCGTACTATCATACAGTAGTCCATTATTGCCGTTTCGCTGCTCGGTCTAGCAGTTTGAGAGAAGAAGAAGATAAGGCACTCAGTTTGGAAACCATCGCTCCTCGATTTATTTGCATGTATCATCCCGAGGACGGGAGTCATACGGGCAAGTGGTACGGGCTTGAATCTCAGTATCTCGCCGATAGAAACCATTGCTCTAGCGCGGAACTGTCGCGTTTATGAGCCCTGCAATGCTCTCGCCTCGGTGCTCGGAAGCTATCCGAGTACCCCGGCCGGATCCGAGGGATCCCGGAAGAACTTGCCAGGAGGTAGGAACTCGACAATCTAACCATCATCGATTCCGACTCAATGGATTCACTTCACCATCATCCCCGCTCCCCTCGCTCCAATTCCACAATGACCGCAAATGACCGTGTACGGTTCCCGTTCAGTGTTCCATCGCTCTCGATTGGAATCTTTCTCATTTCTCACCCTGGGATTTCCTGAATGACTGAGTGAGCTCGGTCTCTCTGGAAAGGGCTGCGAACGACGGGTCAAAGTGTTTGCGAGATGATCAAGTGCGGAGGATGCCAAACGCATGTTGAGCAGCCATCAAGAGCCGGTATCGGATGACGCCGGGAGAGGGGGACAGCTATTCTAGTATTTTTCGATTTCTTCCAAAGATTTTCGGAAAACTGGAAAAAAGTGGATGGCTAACATACGAGCGGCATGGCATACGGGAGAAAATCCGTTTTTCGAAGCATGGCTCGCAGGGTGACGGAATCTTTCCATCCCGATGCGCTGTGACGATTTCCGGTAATTGGCACGGGACTCGGACTTCCCGTGAACACGATAAGTTCCATCAGAGGAAAGTCTCGCGGCTTGAGCTTCCAATCAGGTGGTGAGAATGGAAAAGGTCGTTGTGCGTGTGATGAAAGTTGAACTGCATCGTCTGTCCTGTACCTCGAAGAAAGAGTGTTAGAAGATGTGCAATGTGTACTGTACACGCGACAGAGCCGACTTGACTAGCGGAACATTGATTTCATTGTAGACCGTTCGTTGCGCGCGCTGATTCAGTGCTACGACCAACCGACTGAGCGGTGTCTAGCTGTGACTGTCATATTTTTCGATGCGACGGCCTCAATGCTCGTTCGCCCAAGCTATCGCGACTTTGGATCGAGAAGGCTTCCCGAGGGCTTCGGTTCGGACGACCGTTCCGGCTCCAGAGTTCGGTGAGTACCGCTTCGGCTTCCGTAGATCTCAGCTAACATGAGCAGAAAATGAATCTAGGTGACTCTGTCCGAACAAACAATCGCTCGCTCGATTAAACGGGCGGACGAAGCAGCAAACGGTCGGCCGATCTAACTCACAGAATGTCGAACCGAGCGGCAGACAGACAGACGAACTAGCGTTCGTGAGGTGACAGTACGCGAGCATCGCCGCAGCCTACAGTAGCGCTGGCCGCTGCTACGTGTGGATCAGGCGCGGAGAGCAGCGAATGGGATAAGGGAAGGAGAGGTGGAACCAACAGCCATCGATGATGATCAAGTCCGTTCGTGCGTCTGTGCGTCCGTTCGTCCGTCAGCCAGCCAGGCAGTCCAGCCCTCCGTTCATTCGTGTGTTCGTCCGTATCTGTCCATCCAATGTCTCCTCTCTCC